AAAAAAAAAAAAAAAAAAGAATGGGTCATTTGTATAAGCTGAATAACTTATTGCCTTATATAAAACTTGGAATCTCATTTAATTGTTTAATATTCTAACAGGAGCCAAGGCTTCATTAATCTCTCTCACGGGGTTCGAGTCACTTCTCAGCATAACAGATGATTCTATAGCCTTTGATGCATCTTATCATGAGAAAGTACATCTATGCATTTTGCTTTAAGTGGCTGACTGCAATCTGTCTTCATTGACCTGCTGTAGGCAACTGGGATACTAATCTTACAAAGTCTGTAAGTAGGAACAGCAAAGGAAAGAACTAAAAGTGTGAGGGAGGGAAATGCTTACACATATTGATTAAAACACATACAGTGAGAACTTTACTAGATAGCAATTCTTCACTGAACAAAACCAAATCACTTTATATGCACGAATACATCATTTTACAAAACAAAGCCTAAAATTGTGGACCTAGAACTTCAAAATTCTATCTAAATTATTTCAGTATTTTATTCTCCTTGGGCATTGTGGGTATTTCCAGACTTYTAACCTTCCTTGAATTTCTTAAAAAACATTATGTGAGGTATATATTTACATCTCATGTTTTCCTGTAAGCCCTGTTTTCCTATTTATCATATAYGTTTGAGAGACTCATCTGAGCAGTATCTATTTCACAGAATCAAAAAACTGAACGGAAGGGACAGTCACCTAATTAATTCACCTGCTCCAAGGCAAAAGAACTGTGTGTATGATACTAATTCATGTTGGCCTATACCTTTCTACACCCTGTCTTGTAAAAGACAGCTTGTGATAAAGACTAAATAACCTGCTGAGACCTCTAAGAAAACCTTTTAATAGGAAAGAGAGCTTAAGTAGCACTCACTTTAAATAAATCAATGGAAGAAACTTTAATTTTCATGGATTATGTGGCCTCTGTGCATGCTTATTTAAAACTTTTCCTTTTATCAGATACAGAGCAGCTGGTTTGGAAAGAGAAGAAAACTTTCCACTGGTCGAGGAGGATTGGGTTAGAGATTATTTAGRCAAACTGGCCACTCATAAATCCATGGGCCCGGATAGGATGCACCCAGGAGTGCTGAGGGAGCTGGCAGAGGTTCTTGCTCAGCTGCTCTCCATCATCCTCAAGAAGTCCTGGAGAGCATGGGAGGTTCTGGAGGACTGGAAGAGACCAACATCACTGCAGTCTTCAAAAAGGGCAAGAGGGAGGAGCTGGGAAACTACAGGCTGGTCAGTCTCACCTCTGTCCCTACACCATCTCTAGGCATATGAAGGTGAAAGAGGTGATCGGGAGTAGTCAGCATGGATTTACCAAGGAGAAGTCATGTCTGATGAACAAGACAGCCTTCTACGACTGGATGACTGGCTGGCTGGATGAGGGGAGAGCCATGGATGTTGTCTGCCTTGACTTCAGCAAGGTTTCGACACCATCGCCCACAGCATTCTCATAGGAAAGCTCCAGAAGTAYGGACTGAGCAAGTAGACAGTGAGGTGGATCAAGAACTGGCTGGATAGAAGAGCTTTGAGAGTTGCAATAAATAGGATTAAATCTAGTTGGAGGCCTGTGGCCAGTGATGTCCCCTTGGGGTCAGTACTGGACCTGGTGCTGTTCAACTTGTTCATCAATGACTTGGACAAGCACATAGAGGACACCCTGAGCAAGTTGGGTGGAGTGGCCGACAGTCCAGAGAGCTGTGCTGCTATTCAGAGGGACCTAGAAGGGTTAGAGAGTTGGGAAGAGAGGAACCTGATGAGGTTCAACAAGCACAAGTACAGGGTCTTGCATGTGGGCAGGAATAACCCCAGACACCAGTACAGACCCTGGAAAGCAGCTCCACGGAGAGGGATCTGGGAATCCTGGTTGACACCAGGTTAACCATGAGTCAGCAGTGCCCTCGTGGCCAAGAAGGTGAATGGGATCCTGTCCTTCATCAGGAGGAGTGTTGCCAGCAGGTCAAGAGAGGGGATCCTGCTCCTCTACTCCGCTTTGGTTAGGCTGCACCTGGAGTATTGGGGGCAGTTCTGGGCTCCCCAGTGTAAGAGGGATGTGAAGGTCCTAGAGAAGGTCCAGCAGAGAGCAACAAAGATGATTAAGGGACTGGAGTCTCTTGTATGAGCAGAGACTGAATGAGTTGGGCCTGTTTTCTCTGGAGAAGGAAAGGCTGAGAGAGGGGTTGACTAATATGTCTAAGAGACATCCCCCTCTAAAGGGGGAATGTAGGGAGGAAYGGGCCAAGCTCTTCTCAGTGGTGGCCACTGACAGGACAAGGGGCCATGGGTGTAAGTTGAAACACAGGAAGTTTCATTTGCARGTGAGGAAGAGCTCTTCTGTGAGGGTGACAGAGCCATGGAACAGGCTGCCCAGGGAGGTTGTGGAGTCTCCTTCTCTGGAGGTCTTCCAATCCCACCTGGATGCTGCCCTGTGCCACGTACTGTAGGTGTCCCTGCTGGAGCAGGAAGGTTGGACTAGATGATCACTAGAGGTCCCTTCCAACCTCAGCTATTTTTTGATTCTGTGAAATTCAAACTATATTGAAATACAGTTTGAAATACAGTTTGAAATTGAAATTCAAACTATCTAAAACATTTTTTTTGGTAAAAATATTTTTATTATAAAATATAGCAGTGTTCCAAAACTCTTCATGTTTGATGAAAAGCCATGAAAGGCTCTCCAAACATCTATGCATATTTTCCAAGTCCTAAAAATACCATTAGCCTTGTTTTGCTATAGCCTTAAATGAAATCGCAGAAGCTTTACAAAATGATCTACAAATGAGATATTTCCACCTCTAAATTAACTGATTTTTTAGAATCAAAGAAAACCTCTGTCTTACTGGAACTAGGATTAATTAATGTGTATTTGACAACTTACTATCCATGCTTTCTTCTCTCTTCTTCAGTTCCTTGTATTTCCAATTTTCTTCTCCTGCAACAGAGGTAACATTTATCTGACTTGCTATATACATACATACATATATATATATATATATATATATATATACACACACACACACACAAACATATATAGAGATTGTTGATATACAGTTGATATCAACTCAATTCTAAATTCCTTAAGGCCGCCAAAATGGTAGTTTTAAAAATAAAATTCTGCATATCTACAAACTACATGATGCATTTCATTTATTTAAGACAATTATTAATAAGTCAGTTTCAATGACATTTTATAACACTTAGAGATTAGGATTTTTAATAAGGAAGTGAGGATAAAYACTACTTCTAAAAGTTTGCAGAAGTTTATCATTAGAATTTTTGTTTAGGCAAGGAAAGTTGGTAGAATTTTTCTGAAGTAAAAAGATTAAAATATAGAAAGGCTACATTCATGTGTTCAGATACCATGGTTAGTTAAAAATTTCTGCAATTCTTTTTAACCATTTCAAGAACTCTTTCCSATAGCTTAATATACTTTTATAATTTACATACTTTTATAATAAAGCTTTATAAAATAGTAATGAAGGACAAGCCATTTACACAGTAATAAGTTTGAAAATTGTACAACCAATGGAAACAGGAGAATAAAAGGCAAAGCTTTCTCTACAGTTATTTTTAAGAGCAGATCTCTAGTATATTCTTTATAGTGGTATTGACATGAGTATAGAATAGACAATATGGAGTATACTATTCAGCCCATCTTTAAATGAAATAATCTCACTTTTTTAATTGTTTGAGTCTTGGTCATTGATTAAATTTCAGCATATGCTGAACTTTAAGGAATGGAAAGGAAGAGAATAAAACACGTTTAGCAGAGTAAGCATATTTTCTCCATGTCTCTATTTCCACATCCTACTGATTTCCTTTTTATCTAGTACATACAAACAATAATAATGCCAAGGGGCCCTGAGGGGGCTTTGATTTTCCTTTAGCTTCCTTGCAGCTGTACGTCTGTTCTTTGCTCCCTTTCATTCTGAAAGGCAGGTCTTCAAAACCTATAACCCCATAACTACCTATAATTTCCATTCTGAGTAGCCATTTTAAGGTAGCTTCCTAAATACGGATCACAAATAATAACTTGATAAGTTATTTATGTCTTTAGATTTTTGTAGCTGAAAAACGAATTTCTATTTATGATGTTTATTTTTGATATTTTGACCACTGTTTCTAGAATGAGAATAGTAATATTGAAACATGATTATCTGCATATTTTTCCCCCATAGGCTACTTTTTCTAAAACCAAAAAAAAAAAAGACATTTTGCTAGTGCTTTGTGACACACAAGTTAAATAATGAGACAGAAGTAACTAAAGTAGGAAGGACACTGGTAATCTCAAGGACTACAGCCCCTGCTAACCTGCCCCCTCGGATAGACTGCACTTCACCACGGCCAGATTAGCACAGGACAGGCCCAGTGCCAATCACATTATGGAATCTGCCATAAAACCTGCCCTCAACTCAGAAACATGAGTTGGCCTCTCTTTCTTGTTAAGAACTACTCTGATTCAATCGCTTCATAAACGAGTGTAGAAGAGAGCATCTTCTATGTTCAGGAATACTTATACTAATACTTATACTAATAATAAATATATATATATATTTATTTATTAGTAGTAGAAAATAGTAATTCATATTTATATATATGTATAATATATATGTATAACTAATGCAGGGTAGCCTGCATTGTCAGAAGACAGTTAGCCACAGGGAACCTCTCTATAATCTGGATCTATCCTAATAGATATGCCCTGATTCTTTTTTTCTCTAGATCACAAGAAAAACAAACAAATTCAATGCAGACTTCCAGGTAAATTCACAGGATGACTCTTCTGCACTCCCACTGCCTCAAACACTTAATAGATGTCTTTTTCTAAAATGGTAAAACAGCACAAAAGTAAGGAAGGACCAGCAACAAACAACTGGGTCTAAGCAGAAGCTTAAATCACAAAATGCAACTCATTCCTTACCTTCTGCACTTCTCCAAAGATAACAAAAATGTCGCAAAGCCAATGAAAAAGTAAAATAAAGGCAAAATAGTACAGTTGGAAATACTATCTGACAACAAAAGAACTAACAGAGCGGCTTTAATTAATTATCTGTACAAAAATAAGAATCTGAAGAAATACGGAATTGATTTTAATTAAAGAAACAAGCAGAGAAATAAAAATATTAAGCACTGATTTAGGGTCAATTTCAGAATTATTTGTCTATTCTGATGAAATTCACAGTTATATTTCACACCGAATGTCCCATGAATAAAAAAAGGTACAAAGTTAAAAGGTCACAAAAACATCAATATGTGTCATAGAGAATTTAACTGTTACAAAATTTTCCAGAATATATACATATTTATGTAACATCTGTCTAAAGAGAAGAGTCTATCATCAGGAGATTTCTCTTGGGACTGACTTTCATTTTCAACAGTCTTTAAAAACTATGGCAGGCTCATCCTTAATTTTTTCTAAAACAGTAACTTCTAGTGCTAGAACAAATCTAGTGCTAACCTAGTCTAACATTCTACAGAAGCTATTTGTTCCGTATAAGTTTCCAAGCTAATTCTATTTCTAGACTGCTCTCAACATTTCCTTGCAGAGACTGAAAAAATAAAATGCAGAAAGAAATATATCAAAAATGAAGATATTATTATGAGTAAATCTTGCTGCTTCCACAAACAGTGATGACAGAATTTCAGAATATAAAAGGTAAAACAAAATAAACCTTTTCTAAAGCTGATCTTGTTCTATAATGTTGACATTTCTGCCTATTTCTCAAATAGTCCTCAAAACAAAATTGCGATAAAAGACTAGTCAGCTGTACTACTTACATCCTATTTCTATTAGTCAATAAAAATGTGAAGAAACCCAAATATGAGAGCAGGTATTTGCAATTTCTCACATTCAAAGAGAGCATGCTTTCTTCCTGTCTGCTTTGGGTAGTCTGCTAGAACTCTAATGACATTACCTTGATGATCCTCCAGATCCATATCAATGCGTTGAATGACTTTTCTAAAATGGTTTGTCTTTTCCTTGACTTCTGTTAGCCTAGTAACAGATAATGAAAACTGAAGTTAAAAAGAGTTGTTAAATACATTTTGGAAAGCAATGAAGAGAAGGTTCAAAATAATAATAACTAGCCTAAGTTTATCAATAACAAAATAATACTAGGAAGATTACTGTTATTATAAAAGGTATGTGTAAATCATTAGTCACTGTAGTTCTTATACCTACTAAATGCTGATGTTCTTTCATTAAAAACATTTCCTTTATGAATCATTGGTATTTGCTCTTATCTTACTTAATTAGTCCCTCTGCTGGTTCTTACACAGCTTTGCAGCAGTACAACATGGCAAACTACTAACAAGAAACTGTTAAGTAAAATTACCTATGTATTCCTAAAACTAGTTAAGAAATTTCCTAGTAGAACAATATATTACATAATGAATCAAAATGGGAAATGAAATTACCTCAAAATGATTTTTCTGTAAACTATCAAATACAATTAATTTCTATTGTTTTTTATCAGAAATTATTTTAAGCAAATTATTAGCCAATCAAAAGATGCCAATGCAGTTAAATACGATCAAATGATCATAGCTGGAAATCAGAAGATTCAAAATCACGTTGTATTACTTTACTTCTCTTTTAATACAGCACTATTTCTTATGACATTAACCAGAGCTTCTGTCAAGACCAGTACTCACTGTCTTTCCATGCTTGCTATTTCTTGATTATCTTCTTTAACCTATAAAAAAAACACAGCTTTCTTAACATAAATAAAATTTAGAAAATATTATATGGAATAGATACTCATCATAAAAATTCACAGAAGTTTACACTGTTCTGCAAGTTCTTCACTGAAGTGACATGTAATAGTGTTCTCTCTTCCACATACTTTCTTTCTCAATACACATATAAAACTTTAAAACACAGTCATTAAAGCATTTCAACAACCTGTACAGAATATACGGGTTGTTGGCAGCATGGACCCATCTAAACAAACTAAATTACTCCCAAATTACTACCTCTCTTCTATTCCCCAAAAATGATACTGTCTGGACCTACATTGCAGAGCTCTTAAATATGATCAGATTAATTTTCCTGTTCAACATGACTGATAAATTGGTTTAATTTATCCCATCTAATTTAATAGCTCACTGAAAAACTTATTTTGGCTGAACCAGAAACATCCTTTCCAATGAATCCATCAATTGTAATCAATTTCAACTGACTTATACATCTGAGAGAACAAGAGCAAAATTTAAGAACTTTTTTAAAAATATTATCCCTTATAGTACCAAAACATACTGTATGTTTTGTATGTATGAGAATACTGTAAAATAAATTATTTCAGGTTCTTGCCTGCTTTAGTAATCTCTCTCTTTCCTCCTGTGGAGAACCCATATTCTTGTCCTCAGTAACCATTTGGTTTCGATGTTCCTCAAGCTCATGGAGCTTTTCATACAACTTCACGGCCTCCTGCTTCACCTGGGAGTGTGCTATTTCCTGTTGAAAAATCAAATATCAATTAAACAATTGGCAAGAACATTGCAGAAGTTATGTTTTAGCTGAGCAACATCTGTATTTTAAAAGGCTTGTTACATAAGTATAATGAAGATTGTACAAAAAAAATCCTTACAGTCTGCAATATCACCATGCCTAATGAAATCATCTTCAAATAAATTCTATGAGGAAAGTTTCACCTTGCATTTCTAGGTCACCAGTAATACCTAGTATTCACAAGGGCTACAAAAATGTTTACTAGCATTCAGATACTTTCCAGAGATGTTTATGACTGTGTGTTTTAGCTCAGGGATTCACATTTCTGTAAGAAATCCAATATAAGAAACTTATCTGTAGGAAAGTGACAGTATGCTATGTTTATGATAGGAAAAAGTATTCCTCTGTCAATTATCACTTGTGTTTGGAATGTCATTTACTTTTGAAATGGAATGTGGAACAATAATGTCTTGCATGCATAGTAAAAGTTGATAACATGCAGAGCAATAAGATCTCACAACTCCTTTGAAAGGCTCTGAATGATTATTTCATATTTATGTTTACAGAATTCCCTGTCAGTCTAATGTCAAATAGAACATTTAACAATCCCATGAGTAACTAAAACGAGGAAACTTCATTTATCAATCTTGTGTACTCAAAAGCTGGCAGAAAATTGGTTTTGATATTAGAGAGCAAAAGAATGTTATGATGACCAGTTGTTGTCATACATACAACTCTTAGAGACTCCTCCTTTACATTCAGTGCATCCAATTCCTGCTGTTGGACAACTAACTCCTAAAGAGGAAAGAACACATATTCTAGTTAAGATTCAGTGAGATTTACCTTCTTGTTCTACAGCTTAGAATTTAAAATATCTCATTGACGTCTCATATAACCAAAAATTGCTTGCACTTTTTTGTACCTACTTCTTAAAAGCAGTATTAATAGTGGAATTCATTGTTTCTACTTTAGATTTTCAAAATCAGATACTTAAAGATCATCTAGTCTCCTCAGTTAATTTACAGTTGATAAAGGGACAGGTTGCTCCCAACTAGTGATTCTGCTCATCCTAAAGCAGGTGTGAAGCATTTACCTTAGAAGATGCCTATTTCTTTATATTGGCTATACACAAGAGTGCAATTAAACATGTATGTCCGAATTTACATGAAGTTATAACAACCCCAGAGCTCTTGTTTCTTTTGTTAGTTATTAAGATTAGTGAAGCCAAGTGGATTTTAAAAAGTCCATTTTACTTTTATTCTTCATCCAGGCTGACAACTACAGTATCAACAGCAAAGTCAGATCAATTTTAATACACCAGAAGAAATATTTCCATTCAGAGTGAAATAAAAAAAAAAACTGCCGGGATTGCATCATCCTTTGTCATGTTTTTTGACACATGCAACTAAATATCTAAGCAGCACAGAGGTTCTTAAGAGCTGTATGTGTATCAGTTTCCATATTTGAAAGGAAGAAAATGATGAACATTATTTTGCTTTTGGTCAATTGCTCAACTTTTTTTTTCCAGGCATTCCTACAATACACTAATGATTAAGACACCAGCAAGCTTTCGCATGTTATAACTCATCCCTCAAGTTCTCCAATATTTAAATGCGTATGGAACTTATGGAGCTGGATTCAGAAACATTTTAAGTAAGTACTATTAAACAAACCAACCTGGCAGAGTTTTTCATTTGCCGTCTTCATCTCCATATATTTGGCTTGATTTTCCTGAGACATGTCTTTTATTATGTCGTCTGCTACTTTTTTTTGACGTTCAATATCTTCTTCCACAGCTTGAATTAACTTTTCTTTGCTGTAAAAACAGCATATATTTGCAACTTTTATTAATTGATGATTATTTTAAGTACCCATTTCAAACTCTGGTTTGAAATCTGGCTTGAAAATGATCCCTTAATTCATCAGACTCTTGGAAGAGGAATAATCTTTGTGTAYTTATCTTCTTGAGGCTGTATTAGCTATGTGAACACTCTTACCACGCAGTACAGCAAATGAAGACTTCTTTGCCCTCACCGTACCCATACTGTATTTCCCAATATCTTCATGCCATCAGCAAGCATAGTCCCCAGAAATGAGGTGGAATTTTYCCATTCAGTCACAATTAGTGAATTCTTGGAGTCAGACTAGGCAGTATGAAATAAAGACACTGAGATATGATTTGTGAATGCTTACAAAGAAAACACATTGGAAGAAAACAGAATTGGAAGGATGCAAGAAAATGACAAGGATGTATCTAAAAAACATCTCCTCAGTAAATATAACTGTTCTGGAGAGAATGTCACCTGCTGACACTGTGACAGTGAGTTTGCCTCCAGTACAAACAAAACAAGTGCCTTTTTCTGGAAATCCTGCAGTGTTCAGGGAGGCTTACTACATTCCCCCTGTATTCCAAAGCCTGCACAGCAAGTTGTCACTACTGAAGCCAGAGACAAAGCCAAACTACACTGAATTCCCCTGATCTGTGTCTGAGACTCCATGTTTGTTTAGCAGAATAAGGAAATTGATTTAATGTGGGTGAGGTCATGTTACTGAGGAGCCTCCTTACCTGATGCAAGTCTTTCTTCGTATGTAATGTGAACACAGAGCAAGATCCCTCTAACTAATCTGGTACATCCTTCACAGAATCACAGAACGGTTGAGCCTGGAAGGGACCTCATCCTTGATACCAAAAATCACTGACCAGGCACAGGTTATCTGCTAGTTTACTTTCACAAAAGGAAAAGTGTTTTTTTTTTTCTGACAAGCAACTAAAAATATTAGTAATAATAAGCATAATTACTACTACAGATAACATAATTCTTTAAGACTACTGGGGAAGCTGAACCAAGGCTATGGCCTGGAAAAGTTCCAGAACATTCTTATTAAAAWAAGCTCTAGAACATCCACATTAAGAAAAATCAAAGTGGCAAAAACATCAAAGAAGACCAGTTAAGTCAAATACTTCCTGCTCAGCCAAGCATTTGGGAGCAATGAAAAGGAACAGCAAGCTAAACACATATGTAGTTTCCTGGTGTGCATTGGAGCAAATGAGGCTTAGAGAATAAGTACTAATACAACAACAACAACAAAATCTATCTATACTTTATGTACATCATTATAATTCCTTTGTGAATGTGTATATAAATATGTTCTCCATGTATTTTTTTCAGATTTTCTTCACAAAATATCACCCATATAACAGATGCCCCTAAATGCCTGGAATTCTTTGAAGATTACTAACTTTGATTCATGTACCAATGCAATGGTGGATCACATGAAAAGAATTAAACCAACCAATCAACCAAGTTCCTTTAACTGAGCATAACCTCGCTTCCTGTAGTTCCCCACAGCATTATACCTCAGTGCTTCCTGGGTGACCTGGAACTTAACACCTAAGCATAACTACTACACATTCCTATTGGCTGCAGATCCAATTAAATCTAAGACCATTATAAGGAATTGCTCAACCTAGTCAATCTTTTGCTAAAGATGTTCTAACCTTTTTTTTTTTTTTTTTTTAAACCTACCTGCTTATTCATCAGGTACAAAGGTTAAAAAAGAACAAGTGCTGTTGCACCATATTACTGTCACTGCACAGAAAAGCRCACTCCTATGTACATATGCTGTCCTCTAAGAAGCAACACAAAGGTAAGACACTCAGCGTAAGATCTTTCTCAAAAAGTAAAGATTTCCTAGAATATGTTTTTCTTTTTCTCTACTTCTTCTTTATGCAAGCTCCATTACTTCCCAGAGTCTGCCTTTTGCTTTACAAATATGAGAAAAAAAAAAAAAAAGCAGTCATTTAAATGAAACAATATTTAAAGCCTCTCTAAGGAAAACTTGACATGAAAGTAAAACTTGACTCCAAGGAAAAACAGTCACAAAAGTAAAAGCCCAGAAGTATGTTTTGACATAAACATATGTTACACGAATTTTTAAGGGAGAAGGATTTTTGAAGTTGATGTCATCACTTTCATTCAAAATTATTAACTTTTGAACTTTTTTTAAAAAGATTTCTGATTTACTTAACTTTTAACTTGGTTAATTGGTATAAACTTACAGACTGATTAATTTAAAATAAGCATTTTCCCCATTCTATTAACTAGAATATTTTCATTTAAATCTGCAAACTAAAACAATGCTGTTAATTTGTTTCTAGACTGCCTGGTTAAAGCCTACTGTCTTTCTGAATGTTTTGGAAGAAGATATCTATGAGCTCAAAGTATGCCACAAGTTCCATCTGTAAATACAGTCTGCATCAGGAATGTCTGTTTTCATCTATTTCATCTGTTATGATATGAATTAGTGAAGGGTTCCTAGCGCTCTTCTTAAAAAGTGGTGGAGATATTTTGTAATCTGTCTGACTTCCCAGATTTGTTATTATTTTTAGTTCATGCAACTGAGCTTCCTTACGCATTTCTTTAATTGTCTCATAACTTTTCTTATGGTGTCTGATAAATTCAGCAAATATACTCTATTGCTTAAGATGCAATAAGCATTTGAAACAACTGTTTAAATCATGTCTTTTTTTCTAACTTTTTGTCTTAGAGACTGCAAATGCTTAAAAAAAGTCCAAAAAATACCACCAAAGTAATGTTCTACTTTTTACATGGCATTTTAGTTMAAAGTTGCTGTAAATAGAAATCACTTTAGTATTTGGTGGAAAACATTGAATATTCCTGTTCAGAATGAGTAGATCTTGAAAAAATGATTTTTAAGAGAAGATTGGTGATTTAAACTTCCTTTTTTTTTTTCTCCTGAGAGAAGTTAATCTCAGAAAAACTCTCCTGACTTTCAAAAAATAAGGTACGTATCTCTTCAAAAAATTACGGTACAGACTGAATCATGTTTCCTTAATTCTAAAGATTAAAGTAACCAGTAGGCTTTTATACTGCAGGGCTGCATGTTCACACAATATATAATATGGACCATAAATATCATAAAGATGGTACATCTATATATTATAAATTCACAAAAAGAAATGCTTAAGAACATGGATAAAATGCAGAGATGTTTGATTGGACTGTTTGTTATTGGATTGGATTGATTCTGCCTTTATCAGTGGCAACAAGAGAARTTATTTGGAGAAAGCACGGAAGCCTGGATACTTTCTGCAGTTTATTTATCTCATATTCCTTTAGTATCTGTAACTGCTTTCTCAGGGATACTAATGAGTTCATCCCTGCCTATTCCCTTTATCCATTTATGAACCTGCTATTTACTAACTTGARTAGCCTCTTTTTAATCTGCAGATTCTATCTGATCACTTGATTTTAGGTTTGTCAATTTTGTCTAACACATTAAGGCAGTTAATGTAAGATATTATTCTTCACTTTTTATTTAACAATATAAAATTTTCAGAACAAAATAAGTTATCACTGAAACAACTATATCCATTAGTATTTTGAAAACCTACACTATAAAAGTGACAGAAATCATTAATATATCACTTAACATACCAAAAAAATGTTCTTTTTTGCTAGATTCTGAACATGAAGCTCTCTTGGCTCATGCTTTATGCTGAAATACTGTTTTTGAATCCAGTCACAGCTGACTGCAAGGTTACTTCTAAAATAGTAAGTTTTATAAGTATATGAAAGGCATGCTAGCAACTAAAACAAAACAGAAAACAAACAAACAAACAAACAAACAAAAAGCTATGAACACCTAGTACCTGCAGAAAGCAGCACTGAGAAGAATAGAAAAAAAAAAAAAAAAGGCATGTATACACCTTGAAATGCTTCTATATCTCAGACAAGTCTCACTGCAGACCACAGGAACATACCCCTTGTCTTTACACAGTTCTGAATAGACCTAAAGAGCAAATAAATTTTTTTTTTTTTTTAGTTTTGTTGCTGTTGTTCAGTTGTGGAAAACCTAACTACTACTCAGGCTAAAGACAGTTACTGAGATAGCAGCTGCTCAAACTCAACTCAGTCTGTCCACAGCAGGAACAAAAAGAGCATGGGCTAATTATACTGCAAGAAGAATAATATAATTGTATACATTACTCAAGAGCTAATTTAGAGCCTTGACACTTCACTGCAGCCTGCAGTGATGCACACATACACAAAAGGAATTCAACTCCAGAAAATACTAAGGATATTGGGAGTTAACACTCTCCGGACTAAAAGGCTACAGCAAATCTTAATCCAGAAATCCAAAGCAAAATTCAAGTGCCTTATTTACAACAACAACATGCACTCAGTCTTTTGTCAAAAGTCTATTCCAAAAATGCTTCTAAAAGTGAACATTATAAAGAAAAAAAAAGTTAACATTCCTCTTTGAATACACTTCCCCCTATGATACCTCCTTTACACGATTTCCCAATCACGTAAGGAAAAGGAATCTTTTTCATACCCACACAACAGCACTACTAATTCAAAAAGTATGCCAAACTGGTTATGTTTTGGCTGATAATCACATAGAGAACTTTGTAACYCAAAAAGACTTTCAGTCTGTGTGATTCAGAATCTCAAGTCTTTGATACAGTAAACTAATTAATTCAATTAATTATGAGTACATTTAGAAAACCAATCAGAATTGTAGATAGAGCTTCTCTTTCAAAGTACTGACAGTTATAGAAAGGATATTCTTTTTCCATCAGTAGTTAGTCATTGGAAATCATTCATCACCATATTTTTCTAAGGTAGTTATTTTAATTCTCGATGTTATCTTTTTTTCAACAGGTCACATGTGATGAGTCCGGAAAGAAACTGCATACTATTCCCATTAGCCTTTACCAAAATGTTACAAAATTAAGCCTCAGCAACAACAAAATAACTTTAAATGATACTGACAGAAAGGTTCTTCAAAGGYTTACTAACCTCACTGAACTTTACTTGAATGAAAATATAATTACTGTACTATACAATAACAGTTTCTACAATCTGACAAAACTCACAATTCTGGATATCAGCAATAATTATATTACCATAGTACAYCAAGCAGCATTTGTAGGCTTAAGTCAGCTGTCAAAGTTGAATCTATTCCACAACTATATTACTCAATTAGATTCAGATGTATTTACATCATTAAAGAGTTTGACAGTTTTGAATCTACAGAATAACCTATTGAAAACTTTCCATATAAAATCACCTTTTAAGTTGATTACAATTGTCTTAGCTGGAAATCCGTGGAACTGTTCCTGTGACCTTCTTGATCTACAGAAATGGCTAACGACTTTCAATGTGACAATGGGTACGTTTTTGTAAAAGTGGCATTTCATAACTGTTGATGTTGAACAACCTTATCTTTCATTGTTGTTTTTCTGATCCAAATAATACTTAGCACCAACTTACTCGAAAATCATATTTTGCAGTGATAAATTAATTATCCACTGACATGTTTAAGATCAGCCAATTAATTAATATTACAGTTTTTTCATTGTTTATATTCACAGAAAATGAAAAGAGCACTGTATGTGCATTTCCAAAAACCGAAAAATCCATTTCTATCAGGACTGCAGTTATCCGAACAACAGACTGTGGTTTAAAAACAAAATCCTCAGTAACCACTGTAACTTCCACTTCTGCCAATAAGCTTAAAAGCTTTGCCTCTCAAACACTTCTGGCTTCTTCAAGCAACGTCACTGGAAACAACAGAACGCAGGCAGGTAATATATTGATGCTTCCCTTTATTGAGCTTATGCTATTCAAGTTGCTGTCTGATGATTCAATAGTGTTCTACATTCCTAGGGTATTGTATGTTCTCCATAAAAGCTAGGACTATGAAGAAAGATCTATTTCCAGATTTCATCAAACTACAAGCACATCATAGTAAATGTTCACATTTACTCAGCCAGCACTCAGAATAAATAAACCACACCTCAAAGCTCAATACTCAAGCTATATCTCCATTCAAACACACTCAAGCAAAATCTCAAATTACAATGATTTGAAAATTTCAAAGGATTAAATTCTGACAGTTCTATAGATCTGCCTAAAAAAAAAAAAAAAGCAAAGCACTTCATAAAACTGCCACCTCTTCAGCTAAACTAGAGTTGCGCTCTTAATATGTAAAACAGCAAGCTCATTAATTATAGCTCTACCTTTTACTACAGTTGAACATAAAAGATGTGGACTTGCCTGCTCTAGGTTCTTTAACATCTTTAGCTCTCAATACTAATTTCATCATCACACTGTAACACTCTGTCTTTCCTTTTGGTTTAAAAAACAATTATTTTCTTCCTCTTCCATTCAAATTAATGTTTTTCTCTGCTCTTCCATACTAAAATTCTACATTCCTTAAGTCCAACTAAGGCAGAAATACCGATTTCCAGACCTAGAAATAGAGTAAGTCATCACAAACTCCTTTTGCTGTTGCAACTGAATGTATTCTTAAGCAGTGGACACTGCATTAAGAAAGAAAAAAATAYGTAAACACAGACTATAAGCATCAATCTGCTAAATGAACAATCTACTACAATTTTATTACAGAAAAAGTCATTAATCCTTTAGAGGTACTAGTTGCCCTGTAATCTTCTATTGTGTGAGTTCAGCACAAATATGAAAAAAATCATACTACAGTTCTTCTAGATATTATACAGGAAGATTTTTTTCTTATGCATGAAGRTTTTTTTTCTTTTCTGTTTTAAAGAGTTACCTCTTCTTGGCAAAAGTTGGACGTTTCTAGGGGGTGTCCTAGGGTTTGTCCTAGGTACTACACTCCTGATCTTTACTGCTATAAAATGCCCAACATGGTATSGCTATTTGATCAGCTACCGTCACCGACGTCTTGAAGAAAATGACTCAGAGATGTTTGAACAAGAGTTTTCAGCTGACATGAATTCTTTTCCCACTGCATCAGGTACAAATGATGAACATTCCATAGTAATATTTGAGAAAACTCATGCATTTGTTCCTGAGGAAGATGGATTTATTGAAGACAAATATATAGATACTCATGAAATGCCTGAGGAGAGCTGATTTCTTATGTAGTGGATTATCTGACTTTCAAAACCGTAGTAACCTTGTTCAGATTACTTGCATATTATGTTACTTATGTATGACACAAAATGACACTGAGCAGTCTATCTCTTTCTATTTCATCTGGTCCAATCTGTAACAAGGTAATGAGGTGTGAATCAAAGCCAAAAAAGAAAAAAAAAAAAAAAGATGTAACAAGCATTACTCTCATAATATTCCAAAATACATAAGAATATAAATCATCTATTGTACACTGCTTAAAATAACAGCTGCATAACATAATAACTGCTTTGTAAATCTTTACAAGGTAGCTGTTAGCACTGACATTATTACTGATTCTTTAAAGACAAGGAAGCCCAGAAATGAAAAATAACTTATCTAAAGTGCTGAAGCAGACTGTAGACTGAATCCAAAGTACTAGTATCACAGCTCAATAGCCTACTAGGAAAACTAGTAGGCTATTCCAACTACATTCCAACTACAGAGTGCTGATCATTTTTTTTTTATTCACCTGAATTAGCAGAACAATACATTAACTTTTCTGCTAGATTAAATGTGTTCACATATCATGTGATAATAAATTATCATTACTGCCTAGTTAATACTTTTAGGTCTTATTTTGCTATTGAAACATTTTTTTTTTCTTACTGTTCTATTAGCACTTGAAAATACATTCMAGGGGATAAAATAGATACAATTAAAGGCTGTTGAAAACAAAGTATTACTGTAGAATTGCTTATTATTACACAGCAAAATGCTATTTTTTAGAACACAATATCCTTATTGAATTACATATAGGAAACAACAAAAAATGTTATTGCTAATGTACTTTTTCTTTCAAAAAAGTGAGTATAGATTAAGTGTGCAACAATGTACTGCACTGCACAGTTTCATCCAAAGTAATTTAATATTTACAAGAGGAAAAAATAAGAATCCCAATATGATTTTAATCTATTTTTGTAAAGTCAGTAGTTGTATTACAGAAGTATACACAGAAAAAATCTCACTAATCGTTTAAAAAACATATCACCTTAAAACCTTGTGTACCATGAAATATGCATGTGTTTTATTATACTTAAAGACTCTGTAATTAATTTTCAATATCTTTATATGTCAGCTGTGAAGATCAAACCACACTAGCAAAGTTCTGAATCTAGAACCATTATCTAAGAATCCCTGAGGTATCTAACCTATGCAGGTACCTCATTTACTGATTTTTAAATTTTACAGACAGCTAAATACAAATGTGCCTAKGTGTATGCATAGAATCGCGCAGTGATGACAGTAATGATGATATTCAAAATGTAAGTATCCCTTTGTCTGCATATCTAAAGGAACCCACTCTGATGACAGCTCAATTCAAGTAGAGAAACAGGATGAGAAAACACAAATAAATAACTACCTCTTTAATGTGAGTCTCTTAGTAAGTTAAACTGTTATACACAGTCATGTTGAATAAAAACATTTCTGAGTGTTTCGTCTAGTTACAGACTACCATCATTGTTAAAACATATGGTAAATTATTTTAAAAATTACTTTAGAAGCCTACTGGACACGTAGAAGTTGCCTGTACTRTAGACTATACCATACAGAACCACTATAAAGTGCACAAGCGGTACATAAAAATGWTTAGGTGAATTTTCCTTTCTTAAAAACATAATTCAGTGGCCAAGGCAGGCAAATAGCATGTATCCAATTATTAGATACAGTTTAACAGAGAAAGCTACCACATGTTAGTTAAACTAGGAATTCCCAATTACGATATGGCTTGATGATTCTAGGGACAGGAGGTGCCCTTAAAACATCAATGCCAAGAACTTTTTGCTTTTTTTTGTATCAAAAGGAAGCACAGGATGTTATGCCCCAGTATGACAGCCCTGTGGCCTTTGTAAGGTAAAGGTTTTTACTACTGACATTAATACAGGGAGCATCAAGGGAAACATTTGCAACAAAATTAATCTTCTGCTTCCTCCTGTCAAGTCTTCACTTCRTAACTTACACATCACAGGCCAACCTCCAAGAGTAATGACTTTTGCATTTGTTCCCCAAAACCAAAGAATCTCTACAGGCTGAATGAGATGGTAAGCCTCCCAATGAGAGTTGGTGAGAAGAGTAAAAAGCCAGAAACTCCTGCTCRTTGTACACATAAGCACGTTAGGAAACTTCCGAATTACATCACTTGAAAAATCACAGAAYGGTTGAGGTTGGAAGGGACCTCTAGAGATCACCCAGTCCAACTTCCTGCTCTATCAGGGACACCCAGAGCACGTGGCACAGAGAGGCATCCRGGCGGGTTYGGAAGACCTCCAGAAAAGGAGGCTCCACAGCCTCCCTGGAAAGCCTGTGCCAGGACTCTGTCACCCTCACAAGAAGGAAGTTCTTCCTCATATGGAGATGGAACTAYCTAGGTTTCAACTTGTACTCATTACCCCTTGTCCTGTCACTAGTCACCACCGAGAATTTGGGCCCATTCTCTTTACACATCTTGATCTTCCCTACTTTACAAAGGTCAGATGTAATTTAACTTCAGAGAGGCATACACATCGTGTACTTACGCTTGTTTTTCTGTAAAAATTATATCCACGCTCTGAGCTTCTCGGTCATTCTGAACTTTCAACTAAAAAGAAAACAAACCCAACAAATTACACACAAACAAAATACAAATTATATGCACAAATGTAAGGCTGCGCTTAAATGATCAAAAGGCTGCTCAGAATGCAGTGGAGTGAGGAGCAGCTGAGGCTTTTTGCTCCAGATTTTTTTTCCCTAGTTTTGAATGGTTTCTGCAATCATATTCTTCCACTGAAAATCAAGTGAAATAAGATGGCATTCACTGTGTCTATATTTAAGAAAGAAAATACAATTAAGTTTGTAACAAATTAATTCACCAGCTTCTACTGTGGAATTCACTGATGGAGTACTTCCTGGTAAAACATTGTTAAACCTACTGACAAGGTGACCTTTGCAAAGCATTACTGTTTTTATGACATGGACATTGTGACTTTATTTTTCCATTAAATCTGATGGCTAAAAAATACTTAGCAGGCTTTTCGTTCTAACAAAATGATCCTTTCTACCATTAGTTCCTTTTGCTTATGCACAAAAGGAGCATGCGGAATGGAAAAAACTTAATGCCTCTTAATGCTTACAATCACATTATTACTGACTTTGAAAAACCAAGAAAAACTTAAGGAAGAGCAAAGTTCATAGTTTCTGTTGTTCGTCATCCATATACCTACTTAATGATTATTACACTGGAGTAACTCAGAGTACTAAATAAAGCTCCAAAAGCTCTGCCAGCTATGCATGGTGGCACAGTCCCGTGAGTTTGCCTTKCAGAAGATCAGTGTTCTATGCGTTCTACACAAACACATTTTAACTCTAGTAAATTGTGTTGGGAAGACAGCCTTCTCTGATGTGAAACACACAAGCAASATCATGGAGCTCAGAAGATAACACCTCAGACAATTATCTAATTACTTGCATTTATGTCACCAAGGATATGTATGCCACTCAATATATATGGGAAAAAATACGGAAGTTTTAAATTAGATCTATGTTTTTTATATAGGTCAGAGAATAACATATGTTCAAAGTACCAAGATAGCTTTCATTATATGTTGAAACATAGCAAACCCCCTAATTCTTACCATATTGAAATCACTAATCATTTCTGCTGTATCGGTATTGGTGTTTAGTTTATCCACGAGCTGAAACAAGACAGAATTCCAAGCTATTAGTACTCTCTTTTAATTACAGGACCAAGAATCAGACAAACAGGTACCAATGCACAGATCACTCATGAAATGACAGCAAATTTCTAGTTTTGCAATTTAAAAAAAAAAGTGAAAATCTGAAGGGAATCTGAACAATTTATTTTTTCAGAATTAATCATGTTATATATAATTGTACAAAATAAACACTACGCACTTAAACATATACACAGCTGCATTTCCAGTATTTTCTTCCTTCATATTTTCCCTTTAATTACATTTTCCTCCCTTTCAATAACTGCAAAGGGGAAGTACTAACTAGTACATTTTTACAGATATGTTGAATTTGAGCAAAAACAGTACAAAGCAGAGAACAGAAGAGACAGGGTTGAGTATCAAAAACTGGTATGAGCATACCATGTTGTAGTCTGCTAGCTGACCTTGAAAGTCTTTGATTTCACCAGCTAAGGCCTCTGCCCTAAATACAAAGCAAAAAGCCAAACTTACAAAAGGAAGCACTACATATATAAAAATAAATACTATTCTCAAATACAGTCTGTGACTGMAAGTTTTCATTCCAGTAGCTGAAATACATCTCACCTTTTCTCATATGACAGATAGACAGAATTCTCTTGCTTGTACATTTCCACTTCTTTTTGCAGCTTATTAATTTCTGCTGTAAGATCATTTATTTTACTTCTGCAAAAAAGCATGAATCAAAAACATTACTTAAATTTAAATATATAAAYGAAACATAGAAGTAATATAAATTATATTTTATTACTAGTTATGTGAAATTAGTAGCACTTTATCACATTGTTATGAGAAGCCTCAGACAAGAATTCACCCAAGGACACAATTTTTGCTGCTCTTGCTGGTGTATCATGAGGGAGTACAAACAAAACAGCAAAAAAAAAAACAGCTGAAAAAGAAGATAAGGATCACTGCATCTTCAAGCAACCAGCTGAAACTGCACAAAAGGGCCAAAACACCTACCCCAGTTGAGGCAAAATGAGACCATATATAGAAGTGAGTTACCAGAATTAGGGAAAGGGTGCCAAAAAACGACCACCATGGATGTCAAAATACTCCCAGGGACCACCAAGAGACAGAGGGCACACGCATGTATTGTAATTGATTGCAGRAAAAAGAAGGATTATGTATGATCATTTCAAGAATTTAATGCACATGTTGATAAAAGAGAAACAAAAGCATTTGCAAACGCAAACTAGGTAATGCAGGAAGGGAGGAACTATCCCTTCTGCATCCATGGCAGCAATAAAGTGAATGGCTACATTGGTTTTAAGAGGTTTATTCCTCACATGAGAGATATGATGAAAAAAAGCAGAGCAAAGCATTCTATCAAAAAAAAATCTAGACAATTAACAGAAAACTTGGATTTGAAATAAAATATTTTGCTTTTTGCCTCATCACTAAGACAGCTGTGAATTTGTCTCTGACTGACTTGGGAAAAAAAAAAGTATCTTTTCACAAAACAGTAATATGACTTTTTTTAAAAAAAAAAAAAACTCTCTTAAGACTATTACTCAATATTGCAATGTGGTCAAGTCACAAAATAGCATAAGCTATACAGTTACACAATGGCTTTGTTTTACTGCCTGTAATCAAGCGAAGTACACATGTGTTTACTTTGACATGCTGCTTTGTACAACTGGAGTTGTCAGATCTATCAGGAGGCATAAATATAAGCTTAAAATGTCACACTCATGTTACTAAAACTGGTGGAGAGTTTCTTTAACTTAACATGATAAATAACAAAATGGCAAAAAAATCTACTTGCATCTAAACATAAACTTCTGCTCCCCTAAAAAGTATTCACATAATGATTTTCGTAACTCTTTCGTAAAGATAGCCTTCTTYATGAATGAACCTGTATTATAAAGCTCTTAACTTCACATTGCTGAGTTCATTCTCCAGTATTTCAGAAGCAGTATCTCAGTTGTATCTCATTAGTRTCTCAGTATCTTTAGTATCCCAGTAGTATCTCAGAAAGCGAATGAAACAGAACAGCAAAGTTCCTATTGTTAATACATACCTCAGCAGTCCAAGATAATAGGTTTTATCCATTATCTGTCTCTGAGGACCTGTCAAAGGAAAACAAGTGATGTTTAGCTAGAGAGCTATTTCTTCTGATGACCTGTAAATTATGGGAGAAAACAAACAAAAACAAAGAAATTGGCAGTATTTTACAATCAGAAAACTGCCACGGTCTTAAGTGTTTCCTGCATATGAAAAAATGAAGTCAGAAATTTATTTTAAATGTTTGTGATTTTTGTGAAGCTATCTGAACATTTAGTATGTAAATAAATATTCTATCTATMTTGTTCCATAGTGTTGCAAGAAGATACAGTTTACATCTCTCCTTTTCAAGGACTTTGAATGAGTTGTAAACATCATAACAAAGCTTAAACATAGAAAATAATTCAGAGTATTTTCTTTCTCCTATTGCTCTTATTCAATAGTTATTCACCTTGCAATTTGTACAGCAGAGAGAAGCAAAACCTTTATTTTCCTTTAAAATTTTAAAATATTTCTTTTAAAAGATCTCAAACATACTGATAACTATTTTCAGTAAACAATACCTTTTGTTCCCATTTTCATTCCACTTAATCCCTGTTGTGTCACTGGACGGTCAGCAACTTTAATCTGAGATGACAACACCCCTGCGGTACTTGTAGAACCACCACGAGAACCAGGTCTTGATGTATTAGGAGGCATCTAGATGCAAACAAACAAAGAATTTCGAATTATGATTTCTTTATTCTTATGTGACTACCAAAGCAACTAAAATCTTAAGAGTGAGACTCCTTCAAATTTTTGAAGGTTCATCTAGGAATCTTTCAGCAAACAAGGCTGAGTCTGATGTCCAGCTGTAGGAAGGTGGGAAATGACCACTAGGCAGCCTGCTCATTGCTGTCTCTATCTCTGACTTAATCTGCTTTTAAGATATGCCAGGAGAATTGTCTATGCAAGGGGCCTCTTTCTGTCAAAACTGCATGGTCTAAAAAACAAGAACATCTGCATTTCTTCCTGAGAATTTACCAATCACATCATGGTGTGAGAAATAAATAAATAAATAAATAAATAAATGAGAGAAAATAAAACCCAAAACAGATGGAAGTCACCATTTTCTCACACACAGACCCCTGTTCCGATTCTGGTCGCTGACGGCGTCCTCAGAGAAGAGGTGGGCCTTGCTGCCATCCCCACGCCTCCTCTGGAAGAGGGGCGCGCTGTGGGCGGCCGGTGGTTACTGGACATCTCTGCTTGCTCCTGGGAAGCAGCACAACTGTCTCTGGGGTGCTAAAGATCACTGGAATTTCATAGATCCCGCAGCTCCCAGGGCGGCGCCGCGGCCTCGCGAGCGGCCGTTAAACCCCAGCAACGACGCCGGTATCGCAGCAACGGACGGGAGGACAGTTATCGCGAGACTTAGAAATCCCGCTCCAGGCSGGCACTGCCTACGGGRACTACATCTCCCAGCGTGCCCCGAGGCGCGGCGGTGCCCGCTATCCCTGCTGTTTTTGAGCGCGAGTGCTGCCGGGATATGAAGTCCGCGCGCTGGCGGACGCGGTGATGCCTCTTCCGGCGCGGCGGCCGGCGGCGGTTGTTGCTGTGTCAGAGGCGGCGGCGCCGCCATGGCGGGTGCGGGCGGCGTCTACCGGCTGCGCTGCTCCCTGGTGGGGCACGGGCAGGACGTGCGCGGCCTCACCGGCGGCCTCTTCCCGCCCGGCGCCTTCGTGTCCGTGTCGCGGGACCGCACGGCCCGCCTCTGGGCTCCCGACGGGTGAGTGCCGCGCCGCCATGGCCGCCATGGCGCCGCGTCCCACAGCTGCGCGGCGGGAAGGGGCTGCCCGCCCCGCGCCGGGCCCGGCCGCCTGCGGCCCCTGCGCCCGGCCCCGCTTCGTGCCGCGCCAGCCCCGCGGGCAGCGCGGGATTTACCCGGTGCTGAGCCGCGTTTAGGCCTTTCGGTCAAAAACTTCCGTCTGCGTCGGTGCCGGCGGCTTCTGTGAGGGTAACGGCTTTGCTTTCTGAGGCGTCGGTGTCGTTTTCGTCTGACCCTGCTGAGCGTCAGAGTGATCTCGTCTTGTAAAACCATTTCGGTGTTGGTAATAGGACACTTCGTTTTGGATGCTTTTAAGAAGCCTTTTCTCTCCTTGCTGAGAAGACTTTTAAGAGCGTGGAATGAAACACGAAATTATGATAATAAAAAGGCAATTGCACAGCAAGCGTACAAAACATATGCAAAARTATACAAAGCATGCAAAAGCATGAAGAAAGGGAACCTGTTTTCTCCTGCGTTCTCCTAGCTTGGTGCTGGTGCCAAGTGCCTCTGCCGGTCACTCCGTCACCTTTAATTTTTATTCTATCTTGTCTGTGATCTGGATACTGCTCGGCGGTGCAGGCGTTAGGTGCTGGCCATGCAGGTCACTGCTGCAAGCTGTGAGACATGTTTGTTCCCTTATCCGTAGCTTCCAGCAGTATCCCAATGTTGCTAGACAAGTGTGGGTTTTTTGCTGCTTCTCAGTGAAACAGAGATAACCAGCAACTTTGCCTGAATGCCTACATGTGCTTTTTATCAAGTGGATTTAGGCAGTTCTGCGATTAAGAGCTAGGAAGAATAATCTAGGTGTGCCTCATGGAATCGCTTCTAATTAGAGGAAGAACTTTCTAAAATGCTTGGATTTATTTTCTTTTGCAGGGAAGGAGGTTCTTAATTGTGACCTCTTTTTCGTGGGTTGTGAGAAGAAGATAGAGTTAGCATAGAGCAAAGGGGTTAGGTATGGATCTCCTTTGTGCTATGAAGATTGTATGATTACAGAAAACAGGATTTGGTGAATAACCAGGTTTTTGTATGTATTATTTTTGAACGTACAATTTTAGGAGWAGATACGTTCCCTTCACTTACTCTATATACCTCTAGCAGACAAGGCATTTTAGAATCCAGAAGAGCATCACAGTTTCCCTACCTCTTCTAGGTTTTAAAATGTAAATGCGAAAACWTAAAATGCTACACTTCTTTTTCCTTTGGAGGAAAAAAACAAAGGCTTTATTGTGTGGGGATAATTACCACTTTTATTATTTTCCTTCTAGTGAGTGCTTTGCTTACTGGAGTCTCGTTTGAGATGGAGAAGTAGCGGTGCTTCTTTAGTTAGCTATAATCCATTACTTACTAATCCCTGTAGTGCTTGTAACTGAGAATCAGTGAACAGATTTTGCAGTCAGTAAGCTTTCTTCTCCATTTTCTCTAGCACTCTTTACATACTCTGGCATTGTTGAAGTGTCCTGGGATAAGCATTTAAGTCCTTACACAGCCAAGAATTTCTTACAGGCAAATTGCAGCTGCTTCTGGTGTCTGTAGGCATGATGTTTGCCAGTGAAGGAAGTACRAAGTTGAGTCCCTCCAAGCCTACCTGTTTTTGATAAATAAATGGTATACTTATTTCCTAATTGGGCTAAGCATTCAGAATTTTTTTTTTACTCTTCAATTTTAATCTTTCTATGCATAGTTTGCTCTTCAGCCCACTGTGAGAATGAATATTAATTCAATAGTTGGAATATCAAACACCTGTTATATTTCAGTGCCTCAAATAAGTAATTTCTGCTATGACTCTGAACTGATTATTGCATATGTTTAGTCTTAACAGGGGTTTTACTGAAATACACTGTATGAGTGGCCACTCAAATTTTGTATCTTGTGTGTGCATCATACCTCCAAGTGACCTGTATCCTCGTGGGCTGATTGCAACCGGTGGCAATGATCATAATATTTGCATTTTCACAGTTGACAACCCAGCTCCTCTTTATGTCCTGAAGGGCCATAAAAACACAGGTACAATCTTATTTTAGTTTTTATTGCATGAAAGTTATTGATGTGTTAGGATAATAAGTTGAATCTTTAAATTTTGAATTCTGTGGTAATTCACTGTAGCGAAGTATATTACCATAAGTTTTGGACTCTTCCTGCTTTAATAAAGATTGTTGTGGGCAGCAACCTGGGAACATCCTGGGCTTCTCAGCAGCACCAAAGATCTAAAACAGAAATTATGTATATTTAAACCCCTCAATTTGCTGTGCAAAAGCAAGCAAGTAACTTCATTATGCAGGAATAACTTTGGTGCTGGAATGGGTGAATTGATTATGAAACGTGATGTGCTCCCACTAGAGTTGTAAATATCAGTGAGGTCTTCTAGGGAGGTTGTATGCTGTACCCAAAACCTAATAATGAAATGTTTAGAAATAATTGAAAAATACGGTTTTTGAAAATGTGAAGCTCAGATTATCGTGAGGATGACAAAGCTCTAGYACAGGCTGCTCAGAGTGGTTGTGGAGTCTCTTTCTGTGGAGATCTTCAAAATCCACCTGGATGCCACCCTGTTCTATGTGCCTTAGGCGTCCCTGCTGGAGCAGGGGGGCTTGTTAGAAGTATTCTAATCATGTGAGAAAAGAATGGGAGCTAAGAGAAATTTGAAAAATAAAAAGAGCAAATTTTTGTCATCTAATGTGGAGAGATTTTTAAGCAATGATGAATTTGCAGTGTGCCTACAGTTTTAATTCTTTCTTAAACTTGTCAACATTGTATGTATGCTACTAATAGAACCAAATCTCCTGAAATAAATCTGCTTAAATTGCTGATCTAAGACTGGGGACAATGCAGGAAACTTGTCGATATCAGTTTGAACTTTTGTTTCAGTTTGCAGCCTTTCATCTGGAAAATTTGGCACATTGCTAAGTGGATCATGGGATACAACAGCCAAAGTGTGGTTGAATGACAGATGTATGATGACATTACAGGTATGAAGTCCGGCATGAGTGTTAARTTGATGCTTTGATTTTTGTCAAAAAATAAACCACGATGTTGTTTTTTTGCAGGGTCACACAGCTGCTATATGGGCAGTGAAAATACTGCCCGAACAGGGGTTAATGTTGACTGGTTCAGCTGACAAAACTATTAAACTGTGGAAGGCAGGAAGATGTGAAAGAACATTCACTGGTAAGTACTCTTGTAGTTGACAGTTTTGTTGGCGAGGGGGTGAGCAAAGGTGGGATGCATACTCTAAGAGAAAAAAGTCAAAAACCAYGAAGTTGCCTCGAATTTTTCAGTTATTTTTCTTTCTTCTGCAAAGGGCATGAAGACTGTGTGAGAGGTTTAGCTATTCTTAGTGAAACAGAGTTCCTTTCGTGTGCTAATGATGCTAGTGTCCGAAGATGGCAAATCTCTGGCGAGTGCCTGCAGGTGTATTATGGACATACAAATTACATTTACAGCATTTCTGTCTTCCCTCAGTGTARAGGTAAGGTTTTCTTGTCACTATAACCCGACATTCTTCCAAAATAAAACAAGATACTCGGTTCTGCAGCAGGACTGTGGAGTTGTCATAGCAGAAGAACTCAATTGGCATTTCATTTACTTCATTTGCTTGCTTTTTCCCATTTGCTGCATTTTATGTCAGTAATAAAAATGTAGGTGATTGAATTCAAACCCATTCTCTGGCAGAATTGCACTGYAAATGAGATGAGTAAATTCTTGATTTATTGAAGCACAGACTATTTCCTATACTTATGTAATTTGCATATTGTCACTGTAGTAGAGTAATGGAATGGTGCRTGTGAGGTCAAAGCTGTAGAGTGTTGTAGAAGATGTTCTGAGCTGCTGACTGTTGTGGTGCATGTGTTACTTCCACATTCATTTATTAGGCGAATGGGTGTATATTARTGGATGCATAGGTCACAACTCTCTTCCATCTGAAAACTGTCAGAGAAGATTCTATAAGTTAGACTTTGAAGGGTGCTTAATGTATGCTTCCTGAAAAAACAGAAGCTGCTCGGAAAAAAATCTCAGATTTCAAAGAACGATGAAACTCTGGAAACATAGGGGTAAGACAAGTCTGTGATAGTCTCAAAATTACTCTTAAGTTCTGGTTATATCCTTGAAACAAGGAAAGAATCTTTTGTCTGCCATGACAGAATTTCATTCACTATCTGTCTGATGAGTCCACAATTTATGCACATTTCTTCATAAAGGAAATTATGCATGATTTTTGCTGTCTTCTAGTTCTCTTCTTGTGACTTGAAATACTAAATTATAAAAAGTTTCTTCTTACACTTTTCAGTGTTAGATAGGCAGTTCTAAGAATCCAGACAATCCATTGTCTATCACAGTTTAGTGAATAGATGTATAGTTTTAAGCTTTTTTTGTCTTTTTTCTTCCTTTTTAGATTTTGTAACTACTGGAGAGGATAGATCTCTTAGAATTTGGAAACGAGGGGAATGTGCTCAAACAATCAGACTCCCTGCTCAGTCCGTGTGGTGCTGCTGTGTGCTGGAAAACGGTGACATTGTAGTTGGTGCAAGGTATCCTGGTTTTACTGTCACCATGATTGTAGATCTAAAATTGGAGAATCCTTGATGAAGTTGTATGCATTCTTTTTAAGAGAATTAATTTTGACGTTGAAAAAAAAAGCCACCAAGATGTGAGAACAGTAATTGAAGTATGTGTTCTTGTACTTCAGAAAAAAAAAAACAAATCTTTTTTTTCATGTAGTAGGTACTAGTACTTCAATGATAAAGAGTGAATGCTTTGGGGAATGGGCCTCACAATTGAATGCAGTGCTATGGGTAGACTTGCATGTTCTGTAAACAGTACGTATTTGATTGGCTCGAATTTGATCGTTTCCTRCTGTGCTTTTAAAATTATACTGTGTTTTGGACTTAAAGTTAAGTAGTTAATTCTTTTAAGTTGTTTTCATTAGCAGACTTGGATTCTTGGTCTAATAATAATTTGAATGCTTTCTGTCTGCTCAGTGATGGAATCATAAGAGTGTTTACAGAGTCATCAGAACGCACAGCAAGTGCAGAGGAGATTCAGGCTTTTGAAAATGAGCTTTCCCAGGCATCAATTGACCCTAAAACTGGTGATTTAGGAGACATTAATGCTGATGACCTTCCAGGAAGAGAACATCTTAAGGATCCTGGTAAGTTATTTCACTTCTGTTATGTTACAGACATCTCCAAATCTTGATTCTGAGGCATTGAAACTTTTAGTATCTTTTAAAACTAAGACAACCTTGATCTCTCTTAATAGAGTTTCTGAAGAAAACAGCTTAATTTGCTATTGTTTCATTGATCCTTTTTGGAAGGTAGACTGTAGTTTAAATGTATAGCAATAGKAGACATATATGATAAAAATATTTCTCGTGTGAGATATTTTAAAGGATAGTTTTCAAGGTGGTGGGATGTTTTGAGGATGTGTTTTGGATCTGGCAATGCCAGCTACACCAGCACTGTAAGAAGAAGTTGTGTAAGTCGTGAATGGACTATTTAATGTGGATTTCTTTTTTCTTAGAAGTAGATGTGTTCTGCTGTTTGTTTTCTTTTCCCTACTTTAACTTTCCGTCTGAAGTTTGTCTTAATTGACTGAATGTAGTTCTTACAGGTTCTCAGGACATTACTAAGAATACGGAAGAAACAGTGACAGTTAAAATTATTCGTAAATAGGGTTTTTTTTCCCCCAGAATCAGCACTTGGTGCTGACCACCAAATAGTATAAATTGCCAGTCACCTTCGTTATAATTGTACGAACCTTCCTGTGGTGTTAGTTCATGAGATTTTCACCTCTAGTTGTCATATTCACAGGAGAATGATGAACTGCTGCGGTGATTGACGCAAGGATTACTTTTTCATCTTAGTCTGGTGGCAGATACCAGTTTGTGATCGTAAAATGCTAGTGTGTGGATTTCTCTTATAGCTGTAGTACACAGTACAAACAAGCCAACAAAAGCACTTGTATTTTTTTCTGTAAYGTAACTTAGAATCTTCTTGAACTGTCTTTTCCTCTTAAAAGTTGAGTGCCACCAATATACTTTTTTCCCCCTAAAATAGGTCTTGTTTTTAGATTTCTTAATTTCTTCCTCAAATACTTCTGTCTACAGGCACAAGAGATGGACAGACACGTCTCATTAAAGATAATGGGAAAGTCGAAGCCTATCAGTGGAGTGTTAGTGAAGGAAGGTGGATAAAAATAGGTGATGTTGTTGGTTCTTCTGGAGCCACACAGCAAACATCTGGGAAAGTTTTATTTGAGGGAAAGGTATGTACCCTTAAGAGTTTTGTGTTTTAATTGCTTCAAGTGTTATGTGCTTAAATAGCACATTTTTTAAGAAAGTGCAATTTTTTTGCAACGGCAAAATACCTATACCTATACCTTTCTATACCTAAAATATAAATTAGAAAGCAGGGATTTGGTGGTAGTAAAATTCAGTTCAGACTAAGATACAAGTATTAATCCTGGCTTCTGCCAGGATTAGAAATATTAGAAATGCGTTTTGTAAAAAGTTARCTGACATGAAAAAGTTATTTTGCAAAAAAGTAAACTATTAGCTAGTAAAGAAAGGATCAAGTTCTTTACTGTTTATTGTTAATACCTTGAAAAATTAGTTTCACTTCCTTTCCAAAGAGAATGAATCTTAAAATTTATCTAAGAATGATTTAATCTATTACTTACTAGATTTCTGTGCTCCCTTAACGTTTGAGCTGAAATGCAGGTGATAATTTTACAGACAAGTATGTACTTTAATGATGCTTACATAGAGAAAAGTCTGTATTTAGTGACACCACTAAAAGGATGTTCTGGTCATAACTGTTAGCATGCTTCAACAAAACCTAGGAGTTGTCCTTTTTACTATTAAAGTATGCTTCTAAGCYCAAAGCTTTTTTGAGGTAGCTGACTGTCTTGAAGTTTTGCAGGTCACCAGATTTGTCCCTGCAGCGTTATATCTGATGCTGGAATTGTTTTTCTAATACGTTTGCATATGTATTGGCAGAATCTGTTGTGTTAGCCTACTCTTTCTTGAGGTACAGCATTCTAGAAAACACAGAWTATGGTTTGTATATTTCAGACTTGCGGTCTACGCAGGGGAGTATTACTGATACAAGTTGCAAGTTACGATAAAGACTAAGGGCTAAAATGAAATTCAGTTCATGTTGTATGTATCTGTATACCAAATACGATGACAAGTTTCTCATTTTCCTGAACCTGAATATTTATTTTGCTTAAAGGAATATGACTATGTTTTCACCATTGATGTAAATGAAAGTGGGCCTTCCTACAAACTGCCATATAACATCACTGAAGATCCTTGGCTGACTGCATACAACTTCCTGCAAAAGAATGATCTAAATCCTATGTTTCTGGACCAGGTGGCAAAGTTTATTATAGACAACACTAAAGGGCAAACACTTGGGAATACAACCACTCAATTTTCAGATCCTTTTACAGGTAAAGGAATTAATTTCTAGTGCACAAGTATGTTAGATATCAAGGAGATAAAGATGCATATTTAAAWAAGAATGTTGTTCCAATAATGGTTAATTGTATTTTTTTTCTGTAGATGTATTCCTTTGCAGGGATGGAGCACAAATTTGGCAGAATGATATRAAGTGTAGTATAAGCCTTATTGTTTAATATTTTCCTAGCAATGCTGGTCACTTCACAAGGAGACTTCAGAGTCCTAATTTCTGTACTTTAGTATTGGTTATTTCATGCCCTCAAGTTATGGAGCAAAGGCATGGATAGATTTGACAGAAAAATAGGGAAGCTTAATAATTTTCATAAYGTTTGTTAAAACTAATCTTCAACAAAATACTTATTAACCCTGTTGTATTTTTCAGCTTTCTTTCTCTGGTAGTAGCAGATTGAATAGGGGGAGAAAAAAAAAAAAAAMCCACTTTGTTATTCTGCTAGGTGACAAAATGCTGTTATGGAAACAAAACTCAACATGGAGATGAAAATAAGCTTTTTTTTTTTTTAGGCAGGAAAAGAAAACTATGATCAAGCTACTTTCTCAAGAATTGAATTATATTAAAYATTACATTAACCACTTTTATTGCAGCCATCTTCATAACGGTTAAATTAGTAGTGCAAACTCCATGAATATGATTTTCTTTTTTTTTTTTTCTAGAAGGGACTAGAAATGAGCATATAGACTTTTACCAGGTTTAGGTAAAACTGAAACTATGGTAATGTGAACTTAGGCACATACAGAGTTACACAGACTCACTGGATAGTTGAGGTTGGAAAAGGCATTTGGGAAAACAACCTAGTCCAACTGCCTTGCTCAAACAGGGCCAGCTTGAGCAGCTTGCTCTCATCATCCGGCTTTGACCATCTGCAAGGATGGTGACTCCACAGACTGTCAGGCAGCCTGTTCCAGGGCAGTAAGAAGTTTTTCCTCATGTTCAGATGGAACTTCTTGTGTTTCAGATTTAGTCCATTGCTGCATTTTCTGTTGGTGGGAACTACTGAACAAAGTCTTGACCCGTTCTCTTTACCTGCAGCTATTTTTACGTGTTGACAAAATCTCCATGTCAGTCTTCCCTAGGCTAAGCAGGCCCAACTCTCTCTGCCTCTCCTCATATGAGAGATGCTGTTGTATGTCAATCGTAATGACCTTTTACTGGACCCTCTGCATGTCCAGAACTGGGAAGTCTTCCAGATGTGGCCTCACCAGAGCTGCTCAGAGAGAGAGGATCCCCTCCCTCAGCCTGCTGGCAGTGTCTTTCCTGCTGCAGCCCGGGATACCAGTAGCCTCCTTGTCCACCAGGACAAATCGCTGGTACTAATCACATACTTCTGAGCTACAGCATTAGGCGCTTCTTAGACCACCTCACTGTCTCCTCAGCTAGTCCATACTTCCTCAGCATTCCATTCACTGAAGCTAAGGAAGTCAGCATGCACTTGGCTCTGCTCCCACCAGTTACTCCATCTTAGATGGCTGTGCCTATGATTTAGCTGTGCCTAGATTGAATATAGAAGCTTCAGAAGACAGAGAGCTTACCCAGAATAGTTAGGAAGAATCCTGTTTTAGTGTCAAGGTAAAGCTGTGCAGCAGATCAGGCTTATAGCCCCACGATACTCTAAGTTGTATTTGATATTTTGCTTTGTTTTGTGCTACTTCTGCTTGAAAAGTGATGAAGCAATAGTAACAGCTATAGCAGTTATTTTTCTTGCTGTTTTTTTAGGTGCTGGACGTTATGTCCCAGGTTCTTCATCTGGATCAAATACAATATCTTCAGCAGATCCTTTTACAGGTAACTTATCTGTATTATTTATTTCAATGTATCTTTCAGGAATTTAAAGATGTGTATTTCATGCTCAGTTCTCATCAGTGTTTAGTTCCAGTTCCTCTCAGTTCTCCACTTGGACTAGGTATATTCCACAGCTGGGAGACTTAAATGTGAAAAGTGACCAGGCATGTTTGGATTTGTTCGGAAGAGGAGGACGCCTCTCTGTAGATGAGARAGAAAAACAGTTTATGAAGGAATTGACTGAAATTATTACTACTGTTTTGTAATTCTTTCCTGTGCTAAAAACATAGAATTACTTAGCTRTTTGCATAAAAATTTACTTTTTTTAAAAGAGATTTTGCTGTGTCAAATGTTTTGGTACATTGCTGAACTTGTCATGTTATCTTTATAATAGGAATGGATGCCTACAAATCACCTGCAGCTAAAACTGAAAATATTTATTTTCCTAAGAAGGAGGCAGTCACCTTTGATCAAGCCAATCCTACACAGATAATGGGTCAGTGTTTTATGACTTTGAGTCTGTCTTTATTTCTGTTCCATTTGAAATGGTAATTTCATTTTTAATCTGTCAAAAAAAACTGGCATCTCAACTTTCCTACTTCTTTAGTTTTGACCTTTAAAATCACATTCATCAACTGGATCCAGTTGAAGGCATAGGAGTGCTTTTTACTGGAACTTTAAAGAATATATAATGTATCCAGTCTTGCTCACCCATAAACTTTCTTTTGTTTGACATTTTACTTACTAAACTGGTAAGTAAACCTAGCAATTAAAGACTACTTTTTTTCCCCATCCTGGTGGCTCAATAGGCAGGTTATATGCAATCTCTTTCTGAACCTGCTGCTAAAAACTTCAGTTCACCAGGAGTTGTTGGCAGTTTCAAACCTTGAATAATAAGCAATATCAGTCACAAGAACATTGTAGGTTTCTGTTTGTTTTAGAAGCTTAATTCTAAAAATCAGGCTTACTGTTTCCTATGATCTTGTAACAATGCATGGTTAAATACAATTGTAACTCTTGTGGCCAGATTGGACTAAATTTAATAGCTCTGGGTTTTGTTTTGTTTTGTTTTTTTTCCACAGTAAGCCCTCAGTTAATTTTTATTTACACTAGAAATCTTCTAAAATGAATGATACTGTTTGCTTATGGTTTTATTCACGTGGCCCATAAGTTTTGGAAGAGTTGTGAAGAGCAGGTGCTAATTCTAGAACCATTCTAAGCAAAATGCAATTAGTTCTTGAAAACTTTGATCTTTAAATTGCATTCACATTTGAATGCAGGACACTGAGTTGTCATACCTTACGACATTCACATCAAAATCAGAAACAAGATGAGTGAGGGAGAAGTAATRTTTTAGTGTTTAAAATAAAAATTTCTACAAAATACATCTTTTTAGCATTGTTCATAAAATGCTGTGTAGTATGTTTAAAACTATTTCAGTGAAAAGTTCTGATGTCAGAGAGCTCTGGTTGTGAGGCTTTATGGTTCTTGGTCACACAGGCAAACTGAAGGAGCTTAATGGAGCTGCATCTGAAGAACAAAAGCTTACAGAAGATGACTTGCTAATCCTTGAGAAGATCCTGTTCACAGTATGCAACACCTCTGCAGAAACACCTACAGCACAGCAACTTCAGACTTTATGGAAAGCAGTTAACTGGCCAGAAGGTAGATGATGTTTGCATGTTTTTTTTTTTTTCCCTTTTTTTTCTCTTTTTAGTCATGTCATCAATACTTCACCACAAACCAGAATTCTGTAGTCGTGGGCATTAAAAAGACGGTGCCTTGAAGAATTAGTAACGCAAACAGAAACCAGAAAACGGCACACTGGCACCAATAACATTGTACAATACTGGTCATCAGTGGGGGCAGCAACATAATCTGTAAAATTTGGTAATAGGTAGTCAGATTTTCTTGGTGATGGAACAGTAAAGGTGAAGGAGGAACTTGATTTTAAAAAAAGTTGTAGTTTTTTTTCATTTAAAGAGTATCTCCTAAAAAGAGCAGTGAGACTTGTTTCAAAATGAAAGTGGGAGACTGGAGTCCGGAAGTCAAATAAAATGTGAAATTATGAAAAGTTACGAAATTATGATAAGTTATGAAAGATTGAAGAAAAAAACTCTTGTTTCTGCTCCTGGTAGAAAAGGGGTGGTTACTGCAGGRTAGATTATGCAGTCAGAACAGCATTGGTGAAAAGTTTTTGATGGATGTTACCAGAGATAATGTAATTTTGTTTCATAAACGTAATACTAAAAAGTCAAGAAAGGTGCTTGTTCTACTTGAAGACCAGAAAGAGTTTATCTTGGCTTTACTTTAACATCCTGGAAAAAACAKATGCATTGCATGTGAGGATACATTGGTATGAAGTTTAGAACAAGCTGCTTGTTTTATGCAGTTATTTTATGTTTTAATATTTTTTTTTGTTCCCTAGATATTGTCTTTCCAGCGCTAGACATTCTTAGATTGTCTATCAGACACCCCGTTGTGAATGAGAACTTCTGCAGTGAAAAGGATCATGTGCAATTTATCATCCTCCTCCTTAAATTTTTGAACCCCAAAGGAAAGCAGGCAAACCAGCTGCTGGCACTTAGAGCTCTTTGCAATTGTTTTGTCAGCCAGGCAGGCCAGAAGCTCATGATGCAACAGAGAGATGAAATAATGACACAAGCCATAGAACTGAAATCAGGTGGTAATAAGAACATTCATATTGCACTTGCTACGCTCACGTTGAACTATGCCGTTTGTTTACATAAAGTCAGCAACATCGAGGGCAAAGCTCAATGTTTATCAGTAATCAGCACAGTTATGGAAGTTGTTCAAGATCTTGAAGCTGTTTTTAGACTGCTTGTGGCYCTGGGGACACTGATCAGTGGGGATACAAATGCTGTGCAATTAGCCAAGTCCCTGGGAGTTGACTCTCAAATAAAAAAGTATGCCTCTGTATCAGAACCGACTAAAGTAAGCGAATGCTGTAGGTTCGTTCTTAATCTGCTGTAATTGTTATTATTATTTGGGGGAGACAGTGTATTCAAAAAAAAATGATGCTTTTGTGCATTTCATGTGACAGTGTATAATTGAGAAAATACTGTGGATGMGCTAAAACCTTGATATTGTCAGATGTTACACAGCAAATAAAACTTTTTACAATTGTCATGTGACTGCCTATCTGAAGTCTGCAGTGTACAGGATCTTTGCACGAAGTCTTTCTGGAATAGTTTAGAAGATCAAAATAATAAATCACTAAGAAGCTGGATTGTTAACCGGAAAGAATAGGGTGCAAAACAAAAGTGTCAGCAGAATGACTGTATGAATGACAGTTAATTTTGGCAAATAGTAGCTGTGATTAAATATGCTGGTAAAGAAGTTGCATTTACTTAATTTTCCATCATTTTTTTCCTCTGACTTTCTTTGTTAACCTAACTTTTGTTGCTGTTGCCATGTGCCGTTTGTACTGCAGCAGTTTTTAATCTAGAACTTTGTGAATTCCTGAAAGACAGACTCTTATCTCATGTAGCTCTAGTGCTCCAGTGGTAAGTTTTTAAAATGGTTTAAACATCCCCTACTAGAAAATCCTTTACTTAAGGAACAGGAATAGGGTATTAGTTAACAGCAAAAGTCTTACTTKAAAATATGTTATAAAATACTGGATTGTATTTACAGAGTACAGCAATTGGGAAAAAAAAAAAGTGGTCTTGGAGTTGAGTTTCAAGTGCACAGGATGGATCAAACAGCAGGAAGTGCAGAAATACAAAATCAAATAGCTTTASCAGTGTCAGTACTGATTTTTTGAAAGGGAAATATATTACGGCTAGTCCAGCAGATCTAAGATATTCAGTTCATTTGATTACACATTTAGGAAGTCTTCTGTGGGCTATTTGCCTTCCCCTTAAATAGCCCTTTGCCTGAAGGAGCTTGTRAAGTGTCCTGCAGATGTTACTCTCTTGCTTGTCATTAAAGCAAGTAGACACTTAGGTTGAAGAGGTCCATGTTCAGCATGTCTAAATTGTCATTTATTAAAGTAATTAATTTTTATTAGATTAATATGATAGAGAAAATGGAGAAGTGGGAAAGCTTTACTGGCACTTGAGCTCTTTATGACATCTGGTGGTTTGCGATACATCAACTCSTTTCTGAGAGGCTACATTCAGAAAATAGTTTTAAGATATAACCTATCTGTCTCTTGAACTTTTGTGACCTGCTGCACATTGTTCTTGAAACTCCAGCTTTTAAATGTTGTGCTTGTAGTGTATTTGTACATTTGTTAATTTACGCCTATATACATCTAACATTGTTTTYGTTATTGTGGGATTACAGACTGCCTGCATTAAGATGCACGACCATAAATTTCCTAGACCAAAAAGAAGTTTATCTTAATAAACATACTCTGGCAACTCTGAGAAATAGTATATAAGAAGAGGTATTAAAAATTGTGTTAAAACTGGATTTGCAGGCAAATACTTTGGTGAAAACCCTGCCATCTGGGGATGGGAGTATATGTGAAGGCAGGATCTAACAAGCAGGAGAAGGATAGTTGGATTAGAGGCTGCACAGCTTCCTCTGTGTGGTACGTTGTTATGTGATCACATCGGAATTTAGTGTTGTTTCAAGGAATATGTGTCTGCTGAGGCAGAGCATCCAAAATTCCAGGGGAAAGGACCCTAATGTCCCCTTCTGTTCCCTTACACAATACTAAATTAWATGCAGATAACAATGTACCCCATAGGCAATGGAAGCAATATATTCAAGAAGTGGTATGTAACAAAATATATAACATCTTAAAATACAGTGTAAGAATACAATGTGTAGAATGGAGTGTATTTTTTTTTAATTTTGATGCAAAAATACTTTTTGCAAAAATACATTTCAAAATGTGTTTTGGAGATGAGCAGTAGCCAAAAGAAACATTAATGAGATGTCATGGGGATGAAGGTTCCACTTCCATGGAAGGATGTTAATGTTATACCTAGTAAGAGGGGCAGACAGCCAGGAAGTCTCCTACAATACAGGGAGAGTACACTTCTTTACACAGGCACAAAAGTTAGACCTGGTGCTCCACCTGCAGGAGTCCACATAACAGAAGTTGACCTGCCTTTATATTAATTTCAGGGTAAAAATGTGTTCTATATAAACTGTGAAATTGGATTTTCAGCARTCTTGCAGGATTGTTAAATAACTTAAAGGATTTTCAAGGCATTTTCAAAATTCATATTCCCCGATGGAGTTTTGGTGTTTATTCACATGAGAGATTAAGCTTTCCACTTTGACTGGTATTTTTTTTCCAGCTTTCCTGGTTGTGGAATTGAGGCAACTGTGGACCAAATCACTATTGATTAGTATTTAAAAAAAAAAGTGCGAGATATGAATTACTTCTTTTTTGATGGCTGATTTTGAAGCCTAACTATGACTACCTAAATGCCAGTGTTGTTATCAATGACCTTATCAAAATACAAAGGTACTCTGTCAATAGAAGCCATACTCATTGAAATTGTATTCCATGCAAAGGTGCAAGTTTTATATATGACAGCTCAGACATTGATATTTGATAATATTTTATCTTTAAAATTTAACTTTCCCTTAGTTAAATGCTTAAACATTTGAAAGAAAAAAAGTCTTCTGGTGAACTACCCACTGATATACGGAAAGGTGGATTAGCAGMTCTCAGTGGAGCACCCAAACCAGTTAGTTTTCACATCTGAAAAAAAAAATAGGAACCTTACTAACCTTTTATTTTCCATATAGATATTAAAAAGATACCAAAGATGCCATTTTTATTCCAAACTGGTATATTTTTCCTCTGTATCACCTTGTAACAAAATCTCCAACTTTGTCACTTTGTCACTATCAGTATGTGTGTGGATCTGTGTGCAGCCAGTCTGACCCATCAGTACAGCCTCATGTCGCTCAAAATGAAGTCTCAGAAATTAGTGGCAGCCAGTGAGCAATTTCTGGGGTGCACAATCCTGACAGAACCTGAAAGCTTTGAAGACTTCAGGTCGGAAGAAGACAAGGTGCTACCTTTGATAGGTGGCCTCTGCTTAAAACGTCGTTCTAGAGCCTTGAAGCAGCGATCTGCAATACAAGTTTTTGAACAGGCTTGCCAGTTGGTTCTGTGGAAGAGCAGCTAAATCCGATGCTCTGTTGGTGCACATTGTGTAGACTACAGAAAAGAGTAGTGAACATGGTGGAGTAGATCCAAGTTGGACTTTGCCAACAGGGCATTGCACAAGTCTCCTCAGCTTCCTGACAGGAGGCTGCACAGCCCATGGATTTGCCTCGGACTTGCTGATACGGGTTTGGATTTCTGTGAGATTTCTGACAGGCTCCTCAGCTTTTAACACCTGCTCAGSAAAAGAGACATTTGTGCTGATTAGTGACGGGCCGGGGGAAGGGGGCGGAAACAAAGCAAACAAAACCAGGCTTAAACCCGCACCACGGAATATTTCGTTTTCGCTGAGAAACCGGGAAGCCCCGTCCCGCGCTGAGCTCGGGAGCGCGGAGGAGCAGCGGCAGCGCCTCAGACCCGGCCACGCCCCGACGGCCCCGGCCACGCCCCAACGACTCCCCGGCCACACCCCAACGGCCCCGGCCACGCCCCAACGGCCATGACTCAAAGGCTCCCGGCCACGGCCCAACGACTCCCGGCCACGCCCCAACGGCCGGCCGCGGTCACTGGCCAACAGGCCCGGCCCAAAGGCTCCCGGCCACGCCCCAACGGCCACTGGCCATGCCCCAACGACTCCCGACCACGCCCCAACGGCTCCCCGGCCACGCCCCAAAAGCCGCTGCCTCCGGCCACGCCCCAGCCGTCCCCGGCCACGCCCCAACGGCCACTGGCCATGCCCCAACGACTCCCGACCACGCCCCAACGGCTCCCGGCCACGCCCCGCCGCCCCCGGGCCACGCCCCAACGGAAGGGCGCTGACGTCAGGCGCGGAGGGCGGTCGGTCGCCGTGGGGGCGGCGGTGGCGGCCGTGGCTCCCCGCGTGGCCATGCCGGGCCGCAAGTCCTCCAAGGAGAAGAAGCGGCGCCGCTCTCGCTCCGCCTGCCCCGAGGGCGCCTCGGGGCCGCCCGGCAGCGAGAGGAAGCGGCGGAGCACGGAGTCCAGCCGCGACGTCCCGGAGGTAAGTGCGGCCGCGGCCCGCGCGGGGAGCGAGGTGCGTGGGGCGGCGCGGCCGGAGCGAGGCCTGGCCCCCTGCGTTACAGTCCCCCTGTAATCGGATGGCTCGTTCATCTCCATAATACCTGCTTGCATACAGGTCCTTCATGTGTGGATGGGCCTGTGTTGTGTGCGCCTTGCGCTTACGTTGTAGCGGTGCACAGAGGTCAGTTAGGTCTGCTCAAAACTTGCGTGTGTGGCACCAGATACAAGAGAGACCTGGCTCACTGGCTGCTTAGCAAAGGCAGGCAAGGAGGGGAGCAGCAGGATGGACCTCGTGTACATGTGAGGGAGGAACCTATCCGTGTTTTTCCAGGGAGAAGTTGCAAGGGACACTAGCCAAGAGATACAAGCCTGCATTGTGAGGCTCGGCTTTCAGAGACGTGTATTGCAGTAAGTTTTGTCTCTGAGGTGCACAGTGTGTTGCGTGAATCCAACTCCTCATGAATCTCAGCAACCTGCAAAATGTATGCCTGTCACTGAAGCATTTTTTACATATATATATATGCACACATCCACATATATATATATATATATATATATAAAGTTATGTAAATATAAAGTCTATGTTATGCATGTTCTCCTGCTAGGACTTTCAGGTATGAATCCCACTTCTCATAAAGCTGTCCCACACAGGGTGCTGTCTGCAAATCTCCATTTTAGTAAGATGATTTTAAATCATCTGATCCTTTAACTGCTCGGAAACTTTGAGAAATACATTTGTTGGGCTTTAAGGCAAAATGAGAAGCACAAACTAGAGGAATCAGTTGCATTTTCAGATGGTACATTCTCTTTAACGTCTCTTTCAGGGGCCGTAAGTTTCTCTTGCTTAAAGATTGCTTCACTATAGAATTTCCTAGTACAAACTGTGCAAACTGTTTTGAGGATTATAGGTGGCTTACAGTTGTAAATAGTTCTGAAGGAAGAACTTTTTAACACAGATGAAGCTTTAAGTTTCTTCTTTTCTAATTCACTAATAAAGATGGAGACTATTTTCTCAATTTTAGGAAGCAAAATGTAATGTGCCATCTGGAGAGAAAGAGGAAGAAGCTGAACAACCCAGTGATATAGAGGAGGGTGGATTAGATCTCAGTGTGACACTCAAACCAGTCAGTTTCTACATCGCAGACAAAAAAGAAATGCTTCAGCAGTGTTTCTGTGTCATAGGAGAGAAGAAACTACAGAAGATGTTGCCTGATATCCTGAAGGTACTAATATACATTTGCTTTTTAAACTGACTTTGCAGGCTTGAATGCTTCTGTAAGAAACTCCTTTTTTCTTTCAAGTCTAGAGGACTTCCAACTAAGAATTCTCCTGTTTGTTTCTCAAATCAGAGTGTCATAGGACAACTTTAAGAACAACCTTAATGTCCCAGATCACAGACCACGTGTATTTCCTGTTGCACTGGGAGGGGAGGAGGGGGAGGAGATTTACTGCGTGACTCCACAACTTGTCTGAAAGATCAAATTTACTACACAGATTATAATGGAACTAAACAATAATTCTTATTAGCAGAAACTTAGCCTCACTAGAATACTTACTTTCTAGTAACATGAAAATTTGCACGAACACAGGCTACTTGATAAGTAAAGCTAGCTTTAAAAGTAAATGTAACTACCTGAACGAATGAACTAGGGAGGCTAATTGTGATTGATCTTACCATGCATTTGTTGCTGCCATGGCCAACACATGCTCAATTCCAGGGAAATAGCCTCAGTCCCTGTSCCGAGGGGCTCTGCAAGTTGACAGAGCCGCTGCCACTCATGAAGAGCACAGGAGGGCTCCCCAGGGCCAACCTGTTCATACCTTCAGGCAAAGGAGGAGTTGAGGCCAGTTGCTGTTGTCCTCACTATGTTGCAGTCCCTGGCTTGACTGCTGCACAGTTCAGCTCTCCTCCAGTGTTGCCGAGACATTGACACYCGCAGTCATGGGGTGGAGGGTGGCTGAAAGCCAAAAAGTCAGACTGTGTGCCAGAGTATCTGTGTTGTCTCCTTTGTGCTTGCAGTKGTGTCCCAAGGAGAGGGAATTCCAGCCTTCGGTGATTAATACTGCCCCAGCAGTGGAGCCAGTGTTGTCTGTCAAGGTCCTGATGAGGGGGACATAGTCAAGACCCCCTGAAATTAATGCTACTCCAGCAATGAGAGGAGGGTTTTGTTTCCCAGGTCTTGATGCCCAYATAGGCCTTATCTCCAAGCCTATCTCCTTCCTTTTGATATGTGAAACACAGGRGTGCAATTTGCTTGTAGCTGGCCCCAAATGCTCTTGGGAGCTCTCCACTACTTCACAAGATTAGGTGAAATTTGAAAGTAGAATGCTGATATAGTTCTGTAGTTCTTGATTCTTTCTCTGCTCTTCAGCTGTTGCTGAATTTCTGGCTTGCTTTTTACASTGGTCCTCAATTTTTCTGTTGATTTCTGTTGATTCTGTTGATCTGACAGTTATACTGTTAGTATAACTGAGACAGTACTTATTCAAAGTAAACTACTGAATGGCATGCAATTTCACTTGTTTTTCAACTGTACAGGAAGAAAAGAGATCTGGAGGGACTAGAGGCAAAAGCAGTRGGAAGTAAAGAGCCTTGTTGTATAGAGCCAAAGCCTCAGTAGCACCAGTGTTACAAAACACCCAGCACTTACTGATTTTGGTGTATGGGAGTGGTATCATAGTTCACTGTCACTTAATCAGGAGGACTGTATCATTTTCTTTTTAAGAGACAAGGTTAGATAGAAAACTTTGTGGTTGGGTTGTATACAGCTCTTATTAAGTTTATATATAAAGCATAAGAATGGGATCCATTTCTCAGACTTTATACATGACTATTTACATATTTCCTATAAGTGTTTTTTCATTAGCAATGGAAATAGCAATTCCTGAGCTTGGATTCAGCAATCAGCCCTGTTGTATACAGACTTGATTGTGTAATCCAGCTGCTCCTACTGATAGAAAATTAAGGATAATCTGGTTTATAGTTGTTTTACTGTTTCATGCCTCACTGCTAGTGAAAACACTAAAAACACTGCATCAGCGYTTTTACTTCGCAATGTTATAACCACAGTGAAAATAGTCATAGGTCAAGTAATTGATACYGTTTATTGTTTAGTCTTTCAAAAGATTTATTTTTGGCAGCTGTTGGAAATGAGGCACCTATCAGTGTGGTATGTTTTGGTTTTAATGTGTGTTAGCTCTTCATTTAGTGGTGTTAAATTGGTCTATCTTAACTCTCTTCTTAGAACTGTTCCATGGAGGAAATCAAAAAACTTTGCTTGGAGCAGTTGGAGCTGTTATCTGAAAAAAAACTGTTGAAAATTCTTGAAGGTATGCTTTAGATTTTTCTTCTCTAGTATACAGTGGTGCCTTAAAAAAAAAACTGCATTTGCATACCTTTTTTACGATATAAGATTTCAACTTTTCAATGTTTTATTGAGCTTACAATTGATAACGAAGGGCTAATTTTTGTAATAATAATGCTGTCTTGATAATTATTGGAATACTTGGGAATTTTAATTTGGCAGTACGTCTTTAAGTTTTTCATGTCTCCTGCAGTATACTTCAGTGGCTACAGTATTGTACTAGCCAAACCATTTCTATGTATTTAAGTAACTTATACAGCATGTTTCTGTTGCATTAGTGTTAGCGTGTTGCAAGCAAGTATCTCAGAAATAGCTTGGTGTATCTGGACAAGAATAGTAATTGAATTTTAGTACAGATATCTTGGAGTGAAGAACATTCTCTTGATCATCAAAATAAGACTAACTGTGTAGCATTAAGTCTTATTAACTGGTTAAATTTTCGTCTGTTTGAAAATGCTTATATTTAGGCAAGAACGGAGCTGAGTCTGATACTGATGAGGATGCAGATGGAGGAGACAAGACTGGAGGTGAATCAGTCAGTCAGTGAGTAGAAGAAAACACTTTGGAACTTAATTGAGAAATACCAAATGATATTAGAATTTCTTGTGAGGAGTGATGAAATGTAATACTGAACTATTCCATCACTATATCCTTAGTTATGTGATTAACCGAGTAAAATGATAGCGATCTATTTTAAAATCTAATACTTATTAGCCAAGACACCTGTGTCTCTGTCACAAAACATCAAATTTATCTTAGGCACATAAAGAAGTTTTGGAGTGTCATTATTGCCTATGAGTTGAATTGTAGTATAAATCAAACATGTGCACATGCTTAGCTTGCTGCAGAAGTGATTAGTTAAACTCTTTCATTGAGCTAGGGTAAGTGAAATGATTCCTTCATGCTTCCTGACTAGAGTAAGAACGTCTAGCCCCATYCTAAGTCATCACTCTGAGAGGTAATTGACTTGCTCTAGGTTAGCTTAYACTGAATTACATGACTAAGATGCCTTTCAGTTACTGATTTGAACTAGTACATCAAAACTTACTAACTTGACATGGGAGGAGGGAGAGGGTGCCAATAATCCAAGTTTCCAGTTCTGGTCACTATCTTGATTCAAGAGATCTTGACATTCAAGAGTTTCTGTTCCTATTTTTGACTCAAAGGGCTTAAGAAGTTATTAGTGATTTTCTTTGATTTTTGCATGTCCTGCAGGTTCAGGTTCTTAAAAGCAAAAAGGCTGTCCTAAATGTGGAGATACTAGGATGTGTGATGTTTGTGTGATGCATTTTTAGTTTCCTCTGACACTACTTGTTTTTGGTTTTCATTGAGAACTACTTTGTGTCTATATTCTCTTCTTCCTTGCCTCTTTCATACATAATGTATGAATGCTGTCATTAGGTTCATTATGTGGACTAGCTTAATCTTTTTGTCTTTAACCTTTACTGAAAATTTATAACTTTCTTTTTTTAAAACTTATTAAATATCAGGTCTCTTTCTGGAAAGCCTCTCTGCCAGTGACTGATATTTTGCCAGTGAACTCTTAAAGAGAGTGGCCTCCTTTATAAGGAAGCTATGAAAACTGACACAAAAATTTGGTGTTGAAGAATTTTTGTTTTAATTTACTTTTTATTTAAGATCTGATTCAAACAACTCTTATCCCGGAGAAGAATGGCTGATTCACTGCTGTCAGGTCTGAGCAAGGTAGTTCCTTGGTCTCAGTAATTTTCAAAACCACTGTTCAGAATATTTATTTATGACCTCCAACTACAGAAAAAATAGTAAAGTTTTATTTAAATGCAAATAAAGTAATGACTGGAGTTGGGAAAAGTGGAAATTATGAAAAGTGGAAATTATTGTCATGTAATGAATAAAACACAAAATAAGAACTATATTTTTTATTCAATGGGTATCTAAAGGCATTTGTGTAATACTTTGCCGCCACGGCAATTTGGAAACTTTTCAAGAGTATCTAGTATCCATATTTTGATTTGAGTTACTGTTCTACAGGAAAAAACTTCTAGAATAAAAGGTAACTAAAGTGATCTGTCCTTGTGTACACTCTATAACATAGCTGTGTCGAAGTGCAGCAGAATTAAAAGTGATCAGCTTCCTTAATCTTTGCTTCAGTTAGTAGAAATTAACATAACTAGATCATTTAACTGATAAGAAAGTGAGCAGACAACACAATCAAGAAGATGTTGAAGAGCAAAAAGAAAGTAGATTGCTGTTCCTTCCTTTAAAGAACAGAGAATGGTGGAGATACTTCTGTTTCTTGTAACTCCATCTCAGTACTTTTAGAAAACTTAGGTATTTCAGATACCTACAAACTCCTGAGATGTGGTATTTCAGTGTAGGAGGTAAGGTAAAAGGTATCTTTCCCTTGTTCATGGGATGAGATAGTGTTTCATATGAAAGTGTTATACCCAAACACTCCTTGGTCCATGCGGTCGACCATGTGTTAGCTTCAACAAGAAATAAAAAAGGGAAAGTGTTAAACTGTTAGGAAGGTAGAGAAGCAGAACAAAAAATAAGTGAAATGAGAAAAGGTTTTTATTTATGATTAAGCTTTTGCTCAATAGGTAGGTCAGCATTATGCTTCCTCAACAGTAAAATATCCTTTTTTTCTAAATAGCTGTAATCTTTAGTGATTGAGATTTTTCTTTTGCAACCTGCCTGTGAATGAGTATAAACGTAATGTCCAAAATATGTCCCAACCAGAGCAGCAAGTCAGTAGCAGGTAAAAGATGYAACAGTGAAGAAATAGCAAAAACAGTCACTGAAGTAAGCTTATGTTGTTTATGATCATGAAAACTTTTTTGATAATTGAGTTTAAATGGGTAAAGTTGTCCTGAGAAAAGACGTTTCACAAAGCAGAATGGCAATTCCTTTGTCTGTCATTACTAATTCAGTTTATGTATTTCTTATAAAGTGCTACCCTTGTGGATTGTATCAATGACACAACATCATAACAGTTTTTTTTTGCTTGTCTGTTTGTTTTACATACTACTTGCCTTGGTTGTTTTGGCTTGTAAGTGGGAYTGACAATCTGGTCAGATTTATTAGCTTGATTTGTTTCTTTGATCCTAGTTCTGTGAGGTTTTTATTTGTTCTTAAAATACTGACAAGTTTAAACAGTATACATTTATCAGTAGAAGTCCAGAAAGCTTAAATCAACATATCTGCAGAAATTCAAAATTTATGCTAATTCCTGGAAGAGTGTGTTGTTCATACAGTGCTTTTTAGTTTCCCTAAGTATACAAATACTTACCTGTCTCTGAAGACCAGCTTTAGTCTAACTGCATAGCTGTTCCTGAAAGTAGCAGGGATTTAGAGAAGCTTCTCCAAGTACAGAGAGGGTTCCAAGTTGCAAAACCCGTATCTTAATGTGTTGTGATACAGCATGACATCTTTAATTGCARTTTTACCCTTCATTTTGCTAATATATATGAAAGAGTCCTAATTCTGTTGGCAACCAGAGGTCTTGAGATTTTTCTTCAGCTTAGTAAAAAGGTTCAGCCATTTTCTTCAGCATGTAAAACATTTATTCTGCTATCTTTTCACTGTCATATTCCAAGTTAAACTGATGCTAAAAATTCTGAAATAGCGTAAAAGGACAGAAGCATCAGAACTTTTTTGGCAAAAACTGAAAATTGCTATTACAATGGATGTATTTCAGGATTGTAGAGCACTGAATATCTCAAGAATGCAGTTTTCAGGTCTCTACTATTAATTATTTATATCTTGTTCTGCAACAGAYTTCAGTTAAGCCAAGAGAATTACTGTAGATCAAGTTTTCCTGTTAAATGACCAACAGCTACTACTGCAGCTTGGAATGTCAGTCTGTAGCTCTGCATAACTCCAGCCAATACTCTTTTCTCTAACCTGTGCTGGTCACAGGATGGTTGAGGTTAGAAGGGACCTCTGGAGCTCATCTAGTCCAGCCCCCTGCTCCAGCAGGGACACCCAGAGCATGTGGCACAGGGCGGCATCCAGGTGGGTTTTGAAGACCTCCAGAGAAGGAGACTCCACAACCTCCCTGGGCAGCCTGTGCCAGGGCTCTGGCACCCTCACGGTAAATATCTTCCTCATGTGCAGATTAAACTTCCTGTGTTTCAATTTGCACCTTTTTTCCTGTCACTGGCCATCAGTGAACATAGTCAGCCCCATCCTCTTGGCACCCTCCCTTCAAGTCTTTGTATATGATGACAAAATCTCTTCTTTAGGCTAAACATCCTAAACATGTACTAAACATATTTTTAGCCTAAACATGTACTCCCAAGTACATGTTCCTCTTGTACTTGGGAGCCCAGAACTGGATATAGCAGTATCATTACACAGTGATTGCCTCRCCAGGGCTGAGTAGCAGCTGGAGGATCATGTTCAGCTTTCTGCTAGCCATGCTCTTTCTGCTGCGCCCCACACAATGCCATTGGCCTTCTTGGCCACAGAGACATGTTGCTGGCTCATGCTTAATCTGTAGTTCACTGTTACCCGCAGGTCTTGCTCTGGAGAGCTGCTGTCCAGCAGGTCAACCCCCAGCTTATAGTGATACCTGAGATTATAAGGTTACGTCTCCCTAGGGACAGGAAAAGGCACTTCCAGGGGTTCCCTTTTGTGCAGCCCTGCAGCCTCTCCAGGTTCCTATTGCAGCACAGGCCTCGGGTCTATCAGCCACTCCTCCGAGTTCTGTATCATCAGCAAAMGTGCTGAGGGTGTTGTCTGTCCCTGCACTGGCTAAGAATTTGCTCCCAGGATTGTTTCACTGGGACCTACATCACAACCTTTGAGATCCCTGAGCTCATCCTGACTTGCCTATGGGGAAGTTATTGGAGACAGTCTATTACTTAAGTCAGAGGAGACAACATGTGCTGCTCTTTCCTTATCCACCCAGTTATCCCATCACAGAATCAAGTGAAGCCTGACTTCTTCCCCTTGATGGATCCATGCCAACTCTTCCTCATCACCTCCTTTTCTTCTGCTTAAGAAGGACTGACCTCCAGGATGAGCTGTTCCACCACCTTTGCAGGAAGAGATGTGAAACTGATTGCCAGGGTCATGCTTCTTATCCTTTTTGAAGACTGCAGTGACACTGACTTTATGGGTTTTTATGAATTAAAATATTKAAATGCACTGTGCCTGATCTGCTACAACTCTGGCACCAACTCACTYTTGACCCCTGATTGCCTTCACAGCTTTGCAAATTTCAGCTTATAGCAAACTGTGGTGGATTTGTGCTCCCCTCTATATCTCAGATTTGAAAAGCTGTTGCTTACTGACAACATTAACAAGCCAAGAGCAAAAATGGTCAGTAAACTGAAGTATTTGTGGCTGTCCACAAGATGGTGCAAAATACTTGCCTATTAAGTAGAAAAGAGTGACCATCATTCCAGATCAACCCGACCAATTCTGATAAAATGTTCTGTAAAGGACTTCTTTTGGGATTCAAAAAATTATTTACCAACAGCAGGTAGTCCTTAAAAGAATCTGTTTTTTAATTTAGCCATTGATATTTGCTTAGCAACGGGCAAAGATTTCACATCGGTTTTTGATGTGCTATTTTTTAGTTGTATTTTCTTTGATAGCTGCTAAAAGGGATTTAACTAATTTCACTCTGGGGGAAAAAAGCTTCGATAAAGGGTACTCTGAAATTTCTGCCCAAATTTCTGTTTATAATTCCTCAGTGGAATCTGGCTTAAGGACTTTGGATAGAACTTTATTTAGATTGTTGTGACTTCTTCCTAAAAAGTGTTTGATCATACAAAATCAGTTTCCCAAGCAAGACATTACAGTTAGGCATTGTAGTGCTTGATTGTATAGAGTAAAACACAGATCAAAAGGATCAAGTGTGTGTGTGTGTACAGGACAGAAGGAGCCAAGATCCGTGTACCTTTGGTCAAGAGTTGAGTGATTAAGTTTGCTGAATCACGGCTAACAGTGGTAGGAGTAGCTGACTTTGCTAGGAGTAGCAAGTGCAAGAGCATTAACTGAGGATGATGTCATTTTGTTCCTTCTCTYCAGCTATACAGGATGGAAGATTACTCTTGGAATATATGTGTGTATGTTTAAATTTATATATAAATGTACGCATATATATGTGTGTATATACACACACCCTCCCTAGTCTACCTTGTTTCTGGCACTTGAACACTCGAGCCCTGCAGGTTTGGATTCCTACCCCAGCTGCCAGTTGTCGGACCTCCTTGGACATGTGTGTGTGGAGATGCGTAGGTCTCTCCAGTAGCTGGCTCAGACCTGTGAGGTTCCCAGTAGCTGACTGTTAGTCCACTGATCTCTTGCATATCTTCATGCAGACCCTAGTCTCTCTCTGGAATTTGGCCTCGGGATTACAAGTCTCTCAGGTAACTGGCTTTCAAGCTTATTATCCTACTTGCTGGCTAATATAGCTTAAAGTTTACAAATTACTTACATTTGTATACACACTGATGCACGATATTGAAACAAGTGCTTACGTTCTACAGTCTGACCAATTGCTAGCACTTAGGCTTTCACACAGGCATACAGAATGCAGAACTTGCTCATTCACAAAAATAATAGTAGAGTTTAGTATGAAGACAGGATAGATTCCAGTAATCAGGTGCAGTGTTCAGCTAGAACAAGAAACCTTATGCTGAACTGGCTTGTATTATCTCTGTTTCCTGTCTTTGGTCCTTCCTCTAAACTAACTAATTTGCACAATCCTTTAAAAAATAAGTTTTACAGAGGCCCTGACCGCTGTTTGTAGCATCTCATAAACAGAAACTTGACCCTCTCATCAGGAATAGTAATTCCCTTTGGCATCTAGAGAGGTCTGGGAAGTATCTGCAGGTGACTTGTCTCATGAGGTGTTAGATCTAGACACTGGGCTGATTTGTGTCCATTGACAGGGTTTGGTCAGGGGTGCTCTTTGCTGAGGTTCTGCTTGTTGTTTTGTTTCTCAGTGGGCCTTTATGTTGATGGTGATAAAAACTGTAATCATCTTATCTAAGGGAAAGGACAGTTTATTTGTAGAATTCTGGGCATCTTACACATAGAGACTGTAATCAGTCTTGCAATTCCTCTTGCTTTGGTGAAAATCTGAGTACTGAAATTAAAAATAGATGAATAACTTCTTTGCCTGTGAAGAGACAAAATTTGAGTGTTTTTGGAAGGAGAACCTACATAGACACCTTCCTGTTCAATATATCAACTTGTACCTCTAGTTTGTGTATCTACTTCTCCTTCAGTTTTGCTTGGGAATGGAGTAAACTAAAAGGAGTAACTAGAGAAACAGAGTTAAAGGAAACACACCACTGAGATATTCTGAGAAAATAGTATCRTAGTAAATAATCTATTCCTGCGTTATTGTGTTATAATGATATAATACAATACTGGCTAGTGGACAGTATTTTACAGCTTTTGTCATTTYTCCAGTTAACGTGAGCCTTTACTATTCTATCAAAACATTTTTTAATTCTTTTTTTTTTTAATGCTATGTACTAATGAAACTCTTCTAATCAAATCTACTCTTTCTCATTGTCATTTTCAGCACATCTACATCAGTATTTGTATTGCAATATGTACAAAACRTGCAGGAGAATTATAGAGTCAATTGATTTGTTACCTTTCTTACAGATAAGAAAGTAACCATCAAAATAACTCTTCTAGAACAAAACTGAACTAATAAACTGACATTATTGTAGTGTTCTCTGTCCTGTCACAGCTGTTCTACTTCTTAAGCAAAAATACATCTCTGACAGTTTTGAAAAAACATCTATATTCTACTTAAGGAAAGGTTCCAGGCCATTACTGGAGAAAAAAGTTTTAAAATGCGGACTCCGTCTGTGATTTTATGATTTTTCTCTGTAAACACTGTCCTTCCTTCTTCTTCTATATGTCACAATTATTTATATTTTCACAACTTCTKTAAGTAGTTACACACATGAAACGTGGGTTGGAGACAAGAATGTCTCTTCTTATACCATATATAAAGCATATGAAATCCTAGAGGCCAAGCTTAAAAGAATGTCTGTTTTCAAATGGAGAAAAACAAATACCAAKCAGAATGCAAACTATAGTTTAAAAACATTTGCTTTTAAAAAGCAATCCTGTTTAAAAATGTGAGATTTGATACTGAAARATAGGGTAGGGTAGTAGCTTGTTTATGAAAATAGCTGCTTAATTACAAAATAAAATAAATAGTATTAGAATACAACTGAAATATATATATATATATTTCAGATTATTTAGTTATGTGATGATTTATTCTTGAGTTTTAGAGACAGCCTCCAGGTTGAGGCACTTAGGGTTGTGGTTTAACAGGCATTAGCAGGTTTAGCAGTGGTGATGGGTTTATTGTTGGACTCAGTGATCTTGAAATTCTTTTCCGACCATAATTGTTCTATGATTCTGGTTTTAGGGAGATGCTGCTACTGAGGATTATTATTCTTAATCACTAATATAGTGAGAAAAGTTGCCTGTATACTATTAGTGACAGCAAAGTGAAAAAACTTTTCCAAGTAATTAGAGTAAGCAGTATGTGAATACCTTTTGCCTTTTCTCATACGGTAGCTTGCCTTTCAACCTACCAATATGCATTTTCTTTTATGAAATTTTTTTGTTGTTGTTTTTTCTTTTTTGAAAAGTGCAAAGTGCTCTTCATATTATAAAATACATATACAAAAATGTCTTCTTGTTTGCTTCCAGACAGGATAACAGTATAGACTCCACTTCATCTCTGAGAGAAGACCACAAATTGGAAGGTCAGGAATCAAAACAAGGTATGCAGTTGAAAAAATGGAAGTTTGATATTCCTGATCCTGGGCAGTGACAAGTTCAAAGTAATTGGTACCTCTCTTTTGAACAGTAGCTGTTACCCCAGAGAAGCATCCTCACAGGAATCAGATGGTACAGGATTACAGCCTCTCTATTGCGCTCAGTTGTAAAAGAGGGCAAGAGAGCATTGAAAAAGTTTATTGCAGTAATGTTCCTCAACATGTGGGGCCCAAGGGTTTTGTAGCCTCAAAAGACAAATCACAGCTCTTCAAAGACTATTCTTCAAAGTTTAACATCAGGAATAGAGAAGATAGTGGAGAGGGAAGTGAAGTATAGCCTGCATGTCTCATTTGGCTCCTCATCTATTTTTTTTTTTTTTTTCAAATAAAGAGAAACTTCAGTCGTTTTAGTGTTTTTGCAGATAGGTAATTGTTAATGCTGGTATTGCTATTGTCTGGGTAGTTTCAGAGTCATTTTTATATTGTGCTAAGATGATTGTATGCAACTGCAATAGTACATTTTGATRTTTTCATGACAATTATCTGGGGAAACCCTGCTCAATTTAATGATTCTGTTAAATCTTGATACGTGATTTTTTTTTTTGCTTTGACTGTACAGAGCTAAGGACCATCTGAATGGTGCTTAAAATCTACCACTCTTGATGACTAGCTTTCATTTGAAGTCAGTACAACGCTCAAACCCATGGATCTCTGAGGAGAAAGTTTTATACTGCCTGTTTTCTCTTTTTAAATGCAAAATGCAGTGGTTAAATAATCAGTGATGGACAAAAGGCAGATTAATGAGCGATATACATAAGCAAGTGCCTGTAGCAGAAGGAAACCACTTTCTTAACCTTCATCAGTGTCTTTCAGTTGCTGCCTTTACATGAAAGCTGTGTGGCAGCTGCCAGTATGTGAAAAATTTGACTGTTTCTCTCTTTCTTTATGTTGGACTAATGTCAGAGATATATTTTCCAATAAGAAAAAGTTGCAAATTCTTATTTTGTTGGATAGTCTTATAATATATCCTTATATGAACATATCCTTATATGTTCTATATTATCAGATATATTCTTATATATACTTTCTTTTCTGTGAAKATTTGTTATTATTTGCTTCCTACGAGTCATTTGTCACAGTTCAGGACCCAGTGTTAAAGGTGTGTCTTGGAACAACTTTGTGAAGCTTTCTTGAAGTAATTAGTGAAAAGTGTTACAGTAAAAGCAACAAAACTGTTAGGAGAAGGTTTCTATGACTTTGTCAGGATTGCTTTAAATAGTACAAGTACTATATAGAGTAACATTGGAACTGACAGATTTTCTGCAAATGTCTTCCACTTCTGTATTGCTAATTGATAACTGTTGCAGATAATTCCTTCATTGTCCTTTTGTATGTCCTTTTGGAATATGTGCTTTTGTCAATCCTAGTAATGCGATAGCTTTGGGTTATAACAACAGCTCCTTTCTGCATTTTATCTTAGAAAAGATTTTGAGAATATCAGTAAAACTTAGAAAATACAGCTATGTAGTCAGTCTTTTTCTGAGACAGAGTCTATGATACTAAAGCTATAGGGCTAGGGAAGAATGGGTAAGCAAAAGCAGATTTCACATTCCTGAATTTCACTATAATAGTTGAAGGAAAAAGTGCACATTATCAACATAAGAGATAATGAGAATATAACCAAGACTTTTATTACTTTTGCAGTTATAAAATTTCAGTTGTAAAAGAAGAAAACAAAGTCCATCAAATAATTAAATGATATTTGTGTTCCTAAGTGGTTGTGTGGCTACTTCTGAATAGAACTCAAATCAATTTTGTCTTCCTTTTTGGCCCATATTAAAATTTCATTCAGGAGTGAATGATTTAAGATCTGTTAATATTTTGTTTGTCCTTAGTATTTGACAAATTCCAAGTGGAATTCAATTTCCTTTCTTGTTGATGATTTAGGAGATATTGTTCAATTGAACAGTGTACTAGGTAAATGCTGACTGATGCTAGGCAGCGAGATGGAAGAATTTCTGTTCTTTCATCCTATTGCATTTCATTTCTTTTGATCTTTCACCTATTTTGATTCTTACAAGCTGATGTTCAAAGTTCATTTGGTAATSTGAGAAATGGGGAAAACTGCATTTGAAACTGATATGTAAGTGTTATATAAGATCTTCGGGATGTTGGAGATGCTGTGTACATTAATGGCATATTTCTCATATTTGTTATGGACAAAATGTCATAGCTTTCTTTTCATGTCATATTGTTTAAACATTGTTACTTTGATGCTGTAAAGTCATGATTGGTGAGTGTCTAAGATSCTGCATCATGGCTGAATCAGCCTTTTCAATCAGGGTAACATGTAGTACCCTGGACTCAAATGCTGTATGGAATTGTAGCCTGTGGTCAGGAATGAAGATTTGAATATAAACTTTTTTTATTAATTTATTTATACACGGTGGAAAAGAACCTCTAATCATGAATAAATAAAACCCCCAGGAGTTAGGCTTAAAAAAACTACTGTTGTTTCTAAAAACCAATATGATTTTTCTGTAGATGAGCTTATCTGATAAAGTAATATTTTTTCTYAACATTCTTAAGGTTTAAAGGAGTATGTGCACTTATTTCTTATGCATTTATATTTTAGATCCTTGTATTTAGCATTGGTTTCTCTTGTTTTACCTCACAAGGGTAGATTTTTTTTATAAAAGTGAAGAAGATTTTGTTTTTCTAAAGATTCTCTCTTTATGAATATAAAGCAAATGCATATCTGTACCAAAACCAGTTATCTTTGGAGTTTTAAAAAGAGACGGACTTTCTAAAGCCTAATAGTTTTTCGGAACAATTTAGGTTTTGTTGCTGAAACTAATTTTCAGCAAAAGAAAAAAAAAATTGATTGTTCCTATTCTAATGCTGACCTTTACACACAATTTTCACTGATTGAGAGGAGTTTGAAGAAAGATCAAGAGGAAAATTATGATCTCCTGTGTGCATGCAGATTTTCCATTCTTTCTCGTGTTTTGAAGAGATGCTTCTCATTATTCTTACTGCATTTTTAAAATAGTTCTTTATAATGAAAGGCACAGAAATACTAACAACTTAAAACAAAGACTTCTAAAAATGTAATTCCAAAGATGCTTTACTCTTAAAGGTAGAGACTTGCCTGTATTAAACTGAAACCCTGTATTAAACTGCTTCAAGGGCATGTACATGTTTGGAAGAATGGTACTGAAATTATTTCCAAAAGTTTAAAAAAAAAAAACAGTAAATATATACAACTTCAAGAGAAAAAAGATCAGTAATATGAACATAATCAGTAAAAGATATTCTAATCATATGTCCCTTCTGTGTTAGTCTGCATCATATTAATGCCTTTTTTATAGTCAGAATAAATGAAACTCTGATTGCCTGGCTGTCAAAAAGCAGCAATTCATATAGAGGAAGTACTGTATTGGTTTCCAGTATATCAGCTTTTGGGTTGCTGTTGATGAGTGTTTCTCACAAATCAATAGTTCTTGTAGCCCTGGAGATGTGGGATTCAGAACTAAGGTATGGGTGATGAAAGCTAGTAATTCTTAAAAATAGCTCAACATATAGCATTTAAAAAATAGCAAAAGACTAAGGCTCTTTCTACTTTAAAGAAAGGAAGAAATTATCTTCTAAAATAAAACAGATTTGCCTACTGTATAAATATGTATTAAAAACATATGTATTTAACATATGTAAATATGTATTAAAAACATATAAGACTTCGATATATAGGATCAATAGGGAAATAAAGTAGCTCAGATGATATGTGAACCTTATATCAATCTTCATGGTAAGAGATTTAATGTATTCTAAAAACACAGCTCTAAACACTCATTGTTAATGGACTGGAAACAAAGTATTAGCTATCACATGGTGGTATTATCAAACACAACTATAAAACTTGGAGAATCTTTAGTGGCTATGAATACTTTATTTTAAGCACCCACCAATATTAATGGTAGCTGTTCAGAGATGTGAAGGTTGGGCAAGCACTACTAATTTCTGAGGCCAAAATGACCAAAAAAAAAAAAAAAGTAAATTATAAGATCGATTATGAAGGGTTGTTAGAGCTTTGCTTTATTGCACTGTATTCTTTAATTTTTCCATAAACTCAAGCCAAAACCTGAACTTTCTCTGTTTTACTCACCTGAACTGAATGCATCTGAAGTACTTGTGTGATAGATTCAGAACAACTACACTGTAAATGGAGTTTCTTATTAGACTTCAGCATTCTCAGCTACAATTAGGAAAATAGATCATTGGAATTCATATGATGAAGTAATTTTTCCAGTCCCTGCAACATGGCAATACTGCACAGTCTAATAAACTGAAAATCCTATAATTAGGCAAATTAGTATGTAAAATGCATTAAAACTTGTCTAAATTAGATCAGCCTTAAAACTGAAAGAGGAGAAAGAAGATGAAATAGTTGTCTTTAATTTGTCTTGGTGACTCTCTGAATCTGAAGCGAAACACTTTATTTGGTGGCAGTTTTTTAGGTGAAAGGGAAATCTTTCTGTTAGGCTTCCTACGCTGTCTGAYTGTTACATTTGCCTTACAGGCAAAGGAGAAGATAGTGATGTCCTCAGCATAAATGCCGATGCATATGATAGCGACATTGAAGGCCCATGCAATGAAGAAGAGTGTCCGGAAGTGCAGGAAGGCACTGTCAGAAGTGGAGCTGGCCAGATAGATGACCTTCAGAAGGACATTGAGAGGAGCGTGAATGAGATACTGGGGTTGGCAGAATCCACTCCGAAGGAGCCCAAAGCAGCAACCTTGCCTGTTCCTCCATCAGAAGATGTCCAGCCATCAGCACAACAACTGGAGCTCCTGGAACTTGAGATGAGAGCCAGAGCTATTAAGGCTTTAATGAAAGCTGGTGATGTGAAAAAACAGCCCTAAGGTTGTTGGTTTTTAATTTTTAGTATTTGTTCTCAATGGTATGATGTCAATTCTCTTCAATGCTTTTAAAGTGTATTTGGACTGGGTATGACATTTCTCATTCAAACGTGTATTGTGTATCCTGACCTATGACTTAAACCTGTTGTTGTTGATTCTCATGTGCTGTATCCATGACTTGCACAAAAGAATGTGTTTGATGCTGCACTTAGATCAGTATCTCTTTGTGATGGGTTATTTCATGACATGAATCACAGAGACACAGATTGTGTAGAGCTGTACCAGGATCTGGTGCCTTTAAGAAAGGTTAAAAGAACAAAGTTCTTTATAACCCCTGGTTAGAAGTTAACCAGCTGATTTATTTATGAGCAACTTGTTAACTCTTTGGGAATAATGATTTATATATACTTCATTAAATATGCCATTTTAAAGAGGCCTGTGGTTTGACTGCCTTCACTATTCTGTGATGTGTTGTGAGATGCTGATTTCTCCTTGGGGCCTAGCTCRCAGTATTGTAAATGTACATGTTAAATTGATTGATGGTTCACTTTAGGCAAGATAAAAGGATGATTAATTTTTAGAAATTCAGTTATTAGAAGGTTTATTTCTTCTCTTTTAAGCAAACAATTCAACTACGTCATTGCTGGAGTTACAAAAGTGCCTGAAAATGACACACACTAGGGTTTTTATGCTGATGGCCATTAACTTTTACAGTTGTACACTGTTATTTTGTGTGTCATAACTGAAATCAAGAAAATAGCCTTTTCTTGATTGAAGCTTATATTCTTGAATATTTAGCCCAATATTTAGGACTATACAGCAAATTAAAAACTTTACTGGATCTTGAGTTTTTGATACTTGATACTGTCATGTCCACTGTAAATAGGAAAATCACTTAATTTCAATATAAATGCTTTTTAGAAAATACATTTTATTTATTTCTATGATACAGTGTTTTAAAAACACAAATCTACATTTCTATTTCAATTATCTTTCCTTATAAGTAACTTGTGTTATATAGTTAATTTTCCTTTTATGATTACTTTTAGTAATTAAATTAATTCTGATTGTGTTGGGACAKAGTGCTTTTTTTTCCTTTGCTGCTAATAAGCTGCATATTAAAATTTGTGTGTATATGTACACATGAACATGAACCAAAACAGCGACACCCCTTCCCTTCTTTCCCTCCTGATTTTCATTGATGTCTGAGCTTTGTGTGTGTGTGTGGTCCATGTTTGTAAAAAGATTTCTTGTATATTATTATGCCAGATATTTCTTTACTTTCTTTTTCAGAAAGCAAATAAGATATTTAGCAGTAGTAGCATAGAATAATTTCTACATGCTACTTTTGAATATTCCTTCYGACTTTGTTCCAGTTAATACTGTATTAGTAATGTTACAGCATTTGAATTTAAACACTTTTTCCTTTTAACAYGCTTTTAAAAAATATATTACTTTTTCTTCTTCTTGTAGTATAATAATAAGCTTCTTATGTATTCCTTGAGAATAAAGTAGGATTCATTTTCTGCAGTACCAACAACTCTGTGAGTAAAATGGAAACTATGTAGTGCAGGATAAATTTGGTTACAAACCAAGAACTTCGCTAAACATAGCAGAGGGAATTCTTACAGTGGGTGTCCTCATCCATTGTAAGCATCGCTGTAAGCGCAAGAACTTTTTTTCCGTTATTTTTAGCAACTGGAGAACACATCAGACTAAAAGTTAGTTTTTCTGCTTCTATAGTCATATAGTGCCTATCCTAAAAGTAACTGGATACCTCTCTTCGGCTAYGTACATGAACAGACTTGACAAAAGTGTTGCTTTCAAATCATGTTAGTGCAGCTGCATAAGCAACAATCAGTAGGGAAATGTGTTTTTTATTGTTTGCTTCGTCTTTCATTTGCAGGTTCTTTTGCCAGCTCTCCTTACTGTGTGCTTTRTATTGCAYTGATGAGGCTTATAAAATCATAATRTGAATAACAAGAAACAGTTTTTACTAATGATGAAAAACGTTTGATATTGTAGTAGTTGACAAGAGTACAGCAATATTTATGTATTTGTGTCTCTCCTTTTTGACTGGAGCTCTCTGTCACCTATGGGCTCATCATCAGCAGTTCATCCTCCCCGCAAGACACGTGCTCCTTGCTGACCACTGCCAAGTCCCGTGAGGATCTGATATATTTCTGCCAGCTATTGAGTAGCAAGTGTTTATTTTGTGCAACAGTACAACTTTGGTAAGGCATAATGTGGAGTTTATTAGCAAGGTGAAATGGAAATTGAGTTTAATTCATAAATATGTCCCACGTGCCACTAGAACAACCTAGACTGTCAACTATACTAAGTCTTTTTGCATAGCGATGTCAAAGAATTATGGATTTGCAGTTGTTCGGAAGTTAAGAGATGCTACTTTAATTTTTAAATTAGTACTTGGTTCTCTTCTACTGCATAGTTACTGGAGGCAGTCAGTGTTTATTTCTGGGCCAGAGCTCTATTTTCCTTTTTAAGGTCACCTGTTTTCGTAATTTTTTGTTTCTCTCAGAGGTTGTTATTTGCAGGTTTATAGTAAGCAATAATATATGCTATGCTTTTCTTATTATGTARCAGAGAGAAAAAAGGCTTACTATACAGATGCCATGGTATGTAATTACAATTCAATTAAATTTGAAATTAGAAGAGGGATTTCAAGAAAATTATATTCCTTAAACTCATGTGATCGACTATACAAGTGCTTGTTAATTTTTAGGATATTGGATATTTGTTTAGGTTCAGAGTAGATCAACTGAATTTTGAGTTTCAATTTTTTTTACCATTCAACAGTTTTTAAAAATCCAGTGTATTTAATATATTCAGTTCACTTCTATTGCTCATTTTTTAACTCCGCCATGACCCTTTTCCTTTGAAAGCAAAGTCAATATTTCACATACTAATTTGTCTCCTCCTCAAGGTAAAATGCAATCATGAATTATTTTTGAAATTGTCTCCTCCTCAAGGTAAAATGCAATCATGAATTATTTTTGAAATTAAAGTATTTTTATTGTTTATCAGCCACTTGACTGGGGGTAAAAAGGCACACACAATATTGTCTGGTGTGAGGAGAAAGATCCTGATTACATTCTTGGCAGGAGCAGATTTTTTTTCTAATACTGACTTTTCTGAATAGATGCAGCATGGTGCTCTTTGAGAGGAGGAGAGATTGTGTTTGTTATAGGTTGTATTTTTTAATAAATTATATAAACTCATATAAAAGATGCGACTCCCTAGAGAGCCAAGAGTACCAATTACTCCTGGTGAGAGGCTATACTGTAATTTTTATGCTTGTTTGGTAGAGACCATAATTAGGCTTCAAGATGTCRTTTTCTAGAGGCAAATTATAGGCATTTCTACTGAACAATTTAGATTTGTTTGTAAAAGTCTTTTCATTACAGTATTTCTTCTGCTGTTCTTAAGATGCCAAGAAAGTCTTGCACAGCTTTTAACAACAAGCTTTTTAACAACCCTGTGATGGATCAAAACATCTCGTGTCCGCTCTCCTTAAACATTCAGAGCAATAAAGATCATATAATGTTACTTAACTATTATCTATTATTTTTAAGAATTATTTTACAAAAAGCCACGGTCTTAAGTTACTTCATTCTTGATGATGGCATAAAGTATATTAAGAGTTTTCTGAAAAGCAGATGGACTGAGCACACAGACTTATAAGTTGTCACATAATACTTTATGTGTGTGTTGTAGATTTGCAAGCTCAAATTTAGCTTTATCAGATCATTAGGTAGACATGCAAATATCAAAGAAAATAGTGGAAGATGTATTATGAAATAGTGTCTTTAGTAAGGAAGGAATATGAGATGGTTATTTTATGCAGTAACATGAGTAAAAGGATCATGGCTTTAGGGGCAGATGTAGCAAATTAAAAGCTGATTATGAAGTACTGCAGTTGAGACATATAAATGATATAAACTTCTGCATTTGTTGCTAGGCCACTCTGTGGACAGAAAAAAAATGTCTTGTGTACCTTATGTCCAAATGTAAATGTTAAAATACTGCAATCTTTTTTGTCAAGTCTCATGTTTTATGAACCTCTCTTGGTATTAATATATGTAAACATAAAAGATAAAAGAAGAATCTGATGCTTGTAAAAAGTTTTAGTCATATACTAGTGAATCAAACTGATTCAATACTGATCACCGATTCACAAACTGATTCACTACTACTGATTTAGTAGTCAAATATGGAAAGACTCAAGGAGAGTAACTGTAAATATTATTATTAAACTGAAGAGCATAAGTAATCATTTCTCCTAAGAAATGTGTGTTCATACTATTCAGCTAAGTACAGAAATTTCACAAATTTAAATCCCGTCATTTCTCATGGTCTTTATTGCCAGACTTAAAGGTGAATTACTGACATTTGTGTCTAAGAGCTGTACAAAGTTGTTCTTGGATGGACAGTCTACTCTGAATTGTTAAATCTGTGATATCACAGCCCATCCTTCAGCTGCTGTCTCCAGGCACCTTTACTTCCCTGACATACTCTGAACATTTTTGGATATGCATTCTGGAGACATAGCAATTGGATAGGCAAAAAAAAAAAAAAAAAAAAAAAAAAAAAAAAAAAAAAAAAAAAGTAGATAAAGCCAGCAAAGATCTTCAAAGAATCAGAAAACATGAAAAGTATCTAGAAGACCATCTTTAGTCTATTAGAGTTAAAGCAAAGAGGAACTCTGATTCCTGTTTATAGACAGAAGTGGAATGCCAGGAAAGAAATTTAAACTGAATAGTATTCCTGGTAGAAGAATGAATGTGTATAAGGTGACTATGGATACATTTCAGGTAGGTCTGCTCTTGTCTTCATGCCACTTGTGCCTGCATGGATTTGCAGGGAGCAGTACGAGAAAGCTGATCTGATCACAGATTCACAGAATATTTAAGGTTGGAAGGGACCTCTASAGATCATCTAGTCCAACCTTCCTGCTCAAGCAGGCACATCTACAGCATGTGGCACAGGGTGGCATCCAGGCGGGTTTTGAAGACCTCCAGAGTAGGAGACTCCACAACCTCCCTGGGCAGCCTGTTCCACTGCTCTGTCACCCTAACGGTAAAGAAGTTCCTCCTCACCTGGACACGGAACTTCTTGTGCTGCAGCTTGTGGCCATTACCCCTCGTCCTATTGCTGGCCACCAGTGAGAACAGCTCAGGATACTGTATTTTTATACTGCCCCTGCCGTTTTCTCCCCTTTTCCAAACTATATCATTATCCTAACCTGGTTTACAATGTTGACACAATGCAATGGGTGGCCTGGACATTGGAAGGTAATTGGGCTGTGTAATTGGCACCGCTGCTGCGAAACTATATATTAAATTGTGACTTGGTTCTTGGGTGAAGATCTAACTGCTGAATACCTAGTCTCACTGAAGTGATAGCAGAGGTTATCC